CAAACTCATCGAGTGTGAGATCTTTTAAGATAAAAATCTTCTCATAACGTTTCAATGGCGGTATTTCCAGCCGAATAGGGGCTTGATTTTCAGTGATTTACTTTATATCTTTCCATCTATTCAGAAAAAAACTTTCTCATTGATCAGCATTAACAAAAATTATATGTCACACTCGATGAGTATGAGTGTGAGTGAGCTTTTTGAATACAGGCGTTAGTTTGAATAAGGAATAGTCCAATATCACCTCATTATATCAAGGTTTACATAGACAGAAACGTTTATTGTCCCAATAGAAATGATATCAGTAATCCATGTATCCGTAGCATTTCAAGTTTTAATAACAAACATATATATATCAAATTATCATCGTCGCGTTGTCCGGGAGCAGAGCACCGTGCGAGGGTACTAATTCCGCTGGGAGATTTATTACACTCCATTTATTACACAATCGTTTTGCAAATGGACGATTTGCGCCTTAAACGAATTTCTTGCCTCGGCTTTAAAAAGGACATTTTCTAAAAGGGCTTACTAAAGTTAGTAAAACTACCAAGTTTGGCTGCGAATTGTTGTAAATTACGGAAAATATAGCTATGCGAAGTTGTCAATTTTTGTATACTTTTGTATTACGACCGGAAGTTTGTAACTAAATTAGTTAACCAAACTTTGCATTTGCACTAATTTAAGTACGCTCTTTTTAGCTGTGGTGATTTATTTTCTTCTTTTTACTTCGATCAAAAGTTAGTCTAAAGCGCAAGTGGTCCATTAAGGCATAAACGACTACGAAAAGCTATCACACCATTGCTAAAACTTCGAAAGGGTTTATATGCGGGTAGCCTTATATTTGTATCATATCATGGATTTTTCATACGGCTGAATTGCGTTGCAGTCAATTATGTCGAACATTCTTCACGGAACAAATTTATCTTACAGCATACAATTTACAGTACTGTCCAGAAATAACCTAACGCTGCGGTCCGGTTGCAGTCGACCGATAGAAACCGCAGACGCCCGGAAGGGAAAAATACGATCGCGGTTGCCGTTCGCTCCGAACGGAATGTTATATGAACGGCTAAGAACGACAAGACAATAATCATATCGAAAACATCTTAAGAAATGTCTGTCAGACCGAGTTAGACCGAGGTTCAAACCTCCGTCTCACCGCGGTTCGACCGAGGTCTGCTATTTACATTTACTGATGTATTTTTCGTGTTCAAAGTTATTTCTTTTAATTAATCTCATGGAGTCACCAGCCTCTTTAGTTATACTATATAGAATTAAAGGGTTTAAAGGGTCTTAATAATAATATTTTCGGTCTTAATATATAGAATTGAGTCGGATTATGTCTAGAAAGAAAGATGATTGGTGTGATAATTCGTCTGTGTATTAATGCGGGTATAACCATACAGTTTATAGCATGAACTAACACAAATTCGAACTATCTGGGAACTTCGCTCTTCGATCTTGCCCGTCCAGACAGACAGATTATTCGATTGGTCAATCTTTTTGGTCTGTGAAACTGCGTTGATTTTAAAACCATGCATAGCAGGTTACTTCACATCCGCATGGTATAATATAAATGTGGTATAATAACTGCCTTAACCGACAAAAACATTCATCGTTTCGCGAAAAAGCCTTCGTCAGGAGATGAGTCGAGAAGTGTTACGGTGTATTTTGAGCGGTTAACTGTTAATACCACATTTGATGCGGATTTTTTAGAGTGAGACGCTGCCACTTTGCTCCTTTGATATATTCACACGTAGCCGTAACATTCAACCTTGAAGTTAGCATATGACTGAAAACTAATGAGTAGCCAAGGTATGGTTGTACTTACCAACTTAATTAAGAACGCCAATGCTATCATCTGTCTGCTGGTTCGCTTGCTGTTGATATTGGAATGGTGAGTGTATATACATTTTGTTGTATTTAATACATTAATTGATTTATATGAGCTAAATAGTTTCTATTTAAGTGTAGTTTTACTGCCCAGCTGGACGTCGTTTTTAAATTCCATAGATCAAATCAAGCATTCCCTCGTGTTGTAATTCACAGCGGAATACTCTTGCAAACGCTATCTTTGGTGTTCCTTATGGTGTTTTGGTTGGTAAAAATGCATCGATCGATTTCTGCACATTTATACATTTACACACATATATGTAAATGCAGTGAACTTCTGTATGTTGAATTTCAATGCTTTTTAATTAAAGTACGATATGCTGTCTATATACTATATAGCTACCACCTTGTTTGTTTATGCCAAGACCTAGCATTTGTCCACTTTAAATCGACTCTATATCCACCCTAAATCACTCTTAATCATTTTTAATAATTAAACTATATTCCGCCTTTGTATGCAACTGTGGCGTGTCCATTTAATAAGGAAAATATATGGATACCTATTGTCCATTGTCCACTCGTGAAAATTTAGAAATTGTAATTGATTGTAACGAAAGCATTGGAACAATTTCGTTGCGCGTTTGTCTTTTTATTCGTCTTTAAAAACGTTAAAATATAAAATTGCAAATCCTTACGTACTCCTTAAGTGCAGGCCTATTTTTAACAAAAGCACGAATTCCGGTATTTCCAGAAGTGAAAGTCATGTGACATATGTCCGTATGTAAGCATTTAGTTTATTGACATTTTTTAACTTCTATACCTTTTAGGCTTTTAAACTTTAAAATACGATATGCTGTCTGAATATCGAACAACATTTAGGTTCGCAAGGCTAAGGCATCCAAATGAATATGAACTGTAGTGTTTATGTTCAGAAGCTTTGTATTGAAAAGACTGGCACGTGCGCGGCACGCCGGGGTTACGCCAGAACAGGCATCTTGTTGTATATGTTATGTTGTAATTGCTCAAGTGTTCGTGTGTAATTTAACTCCGTCACAAAACGAAACCAAAGAGCAGGTATAAAAATAATGAGGATGACCCTATCGCTCAGTTGACATGCAAGGTTTCTGTTCTTGCCATAGTGAAGGTTAAGTGGTTAACTATATGAAATACAAGTAATATACAATGTATACCAGGCGAAGTACGTTGTTAATGAAACCATATACCACCTTGTTTATGCCAAGACCTAGCACTTGTCCACTTAATATCGACTCTATATAGCCACTCTAAATAACTCTTAATCACTTTAAATAATGAAACTATATTCCGCCTTTGTATACCACTTGCACTTGTCGAATTTATATCGATTTTATAGCCTCACTGATTACAAAGGCAGCAGATAAACGGATATAGCAAACTAAACGGCAACACAAACTGACTTTAAACAGTTTTCTGCTTAATGATTTCGATTAGAATGACGTGAATATTGCCACGGATTCTTGCTGTTATGAGGTGTGCGGAATTTCCTGTGGTCAAAGTTTACATTATTTTCCCGAAAAGCAGGTAATGCGAGTGTAGACTGTGCTTTCACAATAGACTGGAGTGATCATTAGATACACGTGCAGAAGGAAACCAGAGTTACTGCAAGGTGGTACTTTGAGATGAATTTTGGTTTGAGAAATCGGTACTAAGAAAGATAATTTTTCAAATTTATCAACGGCAGCGGAGAAAGCATTTTGTGAGTGAATTAGAAAATTCAAATTAAAAAGAGGCTGTCAGTCAGTTGAATTGCGGTAGATTTGTTTACATTATTGAGCCATGTCTGTAAATAAAATATATTATATGATGTTGGGACCATCGATATCCGGCTCTATGCTTCAATTACCATATCTTCAATTTACCAACTGGTAACCGTCGAAATTTGCCGTTTTTTCCCCATCATTCTAGCGAAGATGCGAACAACACCGCACTTTTACATAATTATACCTTCAAGAATTATGCACATTCCAAATTATATTTTGTACGCTTTAAATATGCAAGAATGCTTTAAATTAAAGAAATTAAAACTCTATTATAATTAGAAAAATATTTCATTACAGGTTGAAACTGAAGATGTATTGAAACTTACGAATTAAGTTTCTATTTTTGAACATTATTGATGTTTGTTCAAATGGAAAATAGAAAAAATAGAAAATAGAAAATACGGTTGCATGCACGTATCGAAATTACGTTCAAAAGTCCTTATTACTTAGCTTCTGCCAAAAACGATACTGGCGGCCGGCGTTTTTAGACACGGTGGGTTGCCAGTTCTCAATTAAATCCTGCATTGTAGGCCTGTCTTGGGGTTTTGATTTTGTACAGGATTTTACCAGCTTTTTGATATCTTTGTTTGAAATACTTTTCCTTTGATTTTTTCTATTCCTGGGATCAGGCTGTTCGCAAATTGCTATCTCACAGACCAGAATTCCATAACTGAAGACATCGATCTATGTGGAAAAACGAGAACATTACCCTTTTAGCTGCTGAAAAAAACAAGGAAATTTTTCAAGGCTTTGCCTTATCGACCTGCGTAAGAAGAGCGAGTTATTATCGCCTGGTTTATTTGAGAACAAGACTGCACATGCTTCGAAATATTCTATTACATCAACCACCTAGTTAAATCGTTTGGTTTGTGTAGGTAGAACGAGTTCTTTGGTACACATAATGTACAAAACGTTTGTGGAAAACGCACGTAACAAATGTATTCTGTCCTATATCACCTCAAAAGGACTCGTTCACAAACATGGGTGACTTGTAGTTCATCTCATTTAAAAAAAATAGGTATAGCATTTAAACCTTCAAATCCGATTTTATGGTGATTTAAAATATTTCACTAACGACGGGCGTAAACCTCTTGAAGACGCGTCTACCAAGTGTAAACACTTTTCGATACGTCAGGTATACAGTATATTTACTTACTCTTATGAAGAAAAGAAGACCCTTAGGTGAAAACGTCATGAATTTTACGTTTCTATTTTAGGCAGGCGATGGAGCAATTATGCTGCTGAGTGTCATTTGAAAAAGCAGCCACGATGCGACTCGATAAAAAAGCCGTACGATCGATTATTCCGTCAAAACAATCCTACGAAGCCATGAACGATTGTCATATGCAGCAGCATGACAATGAGTCATTAATTTAGTTCTATTTTTGTTACCTTTGGGTCTTGTGACGCCTGGCTTGCTTCAGGTGCGGCGTAAAGGACCGCTCCTGGATTTGACGTGTTGCACATATCTATGAAGTTAGCTGAACCATAATCTGATATCTTCGCTCTTCTTGGTGAACAATTATCGATCCATAACAATACGTTGGCACTGCTGATATCACGGTGGATTATCGGGTTTGGTTTCATTGAATGAAGGTAGTTGAGACCGCAGGCCACGTCTAAGGAGATTAATTTAAGCTCCTCGTTCTCTAGGCACGAACCATCTCTTGCACGTCCCTCAATATACGCACGTAAAGTCGTATCCATCATTTCTGTCACGATTAACAAACGATTTTGATCATTCCTCGACGCGCATATAAACTGTAGTAAATTCGGATGACGACATTGCGATGCGATATATACTTCACGTTGAAGAATTTGCAAGTTATAATCAGATGTAATAACTTCGTGGTATTCTTTAACTGCTACTTTGGATCCATAAAAATATCCCTTGAAAACAGCACCATAAGCGCCTTTTCCGAGAACATCGTTAGTTGAAAATGCCACAGATGTTTCTTCTATGTGGTAGCGAGACTTAGCATCTTCTCGAAGTCGCCGAATTTCATTATTTATCTCATTCTTATCTTTTTCAAGTTGGTGAATTTCATGGCACTGGGCAGCAAGATGTTCTCGGAGTTCTTGAATTAAATCGCTCATCTCGTTTCCTTCGTCCCGAAGTCGCTGAATTTCATTGTTCAAATCGCTGTTCTCTTGTTCTAGTCGATTTCGCCGCAATTTTCGTTCTCTCATTCCGGAAAGAAGTGGTAAGCGCCATACACCATGACTGGGTCCCTCATTTTGTGACCCTGACATAACGTCCGTGGTATACGACGGTCTAAATGAAAACATCAGCATGCATACAAAATTCATGCAAATATATTGCTTCGGTCATATATATTTGTTCTTCACACAGTAATACAGACTTTAGAGCCTGTTTAAAGTGTGTGTGTGTGGGGGGGGGGAGACTACAACTGAAGGAGGCCATGATGCCCCCTATAGTTTCTTCTGCTGTGCGATCCATCTAATAATGAGATCATGGTCACGGAATCGTTGAGGTGTCCAGGTTCGTTTCAAATATTTCAAATATTTTGGTGTTCCTCCACCTTCGAATTACGTAACGCTTTTTCGCACGTATAATTCTAATTTATACAAAATTGGCCAATTGAAATTCGAATGGCGATACTTTTCAGACTTTGCAACATTTTGAAATCTGGATTTTTAATTTCTTAGTTTCAAATTTAGTTTTATAGTTAGAAGCTATCTAACTTTCTGACAAATATATTTTTTCGTGTCATAATTAATGGCTAAAAATCACCAGATAATCCTGTGTTAAAATTGCCCATGTTGTGTATGGCTAGCGTGGTTAAATAAATTTTATGAATGAATGAATGAAAATGAAAAACCACATTCGATTCTTTCAATTCACCACTGAGAATTGAATAGACAATCTTTTTTCCGCGTATACACGCATTAAAACTCAAATAAATTTAAATTTGCTTCATTTTCCCTTTAATCAGGCAAATTTTGATTTTGATCACTGATTTTAATTTTAAGAATATTGCTGGTATGAACTGAAGAAAGGTCTGTAAAGGTATGTTTTTAATTTTATTTCGTGTTTTTCTGAGACACCCTGTAGAGGGGCGATATAGCTGAAATACGCGAATTAATCAGAACAAGATATACACTGGTAAACCAAAGAAGACCTGTGTAGTTTTGCTTGTTTTTTTCACGTCATCAATGTATTTAAAATGATTATGTTCAAATGAGGATAAAAAAATCTGGTAAAAAATTGCCCAGACAGGCATCAGATCTATTTGTTAGTTACTCGCTGTTATTCTTCTGTTAATTAAGACGTTTTTCAAACATTATAGAAACATAATTTTGTCGATAAACTCATCTTTTACTCTCATAAAACGCATTGAAAAGACTGGCACGTGCGCGCCTGAGTTACGTCAGAGCAGGCATCATGTTGTTTATGTTATATCATATTTTTAGAATTGCGCAAGTGTTCGTGTGTAATTTAACTCCGTCACAAAACGAAACCAAAGAGCTAGTATAGAAATAATGTTTTGAAAGCGAACGAGGATGACCCTATTGCTCAGTTAACATGCAAGGTTTCTGTTCCTGCCATAGTGAAGGTTAACTATAACGAAATACAAGTAATAAACAATATGCATACCTTGCGTAGTACGTCGATAATGAAACTATATACCACCTTGTTTATGCCAAGACCTAGCACTTGTCCACTTTATATCGACTCTATAGCCACTCTAAATCACTTTTAATTGTGAAGAATAACGTAACATAAAAGAATAACCCGAGAGAATAAAAAACAACCCGTTTCAGATCTGTCAAGGACAGCAATTAAAAAGGCAGCAAACTAAACCATGCAGTGCTTCCACAACTATTTTATGGAAATTTCCTAAATGCTTTGTTGTTTTCCTTTTTTTAAGGACATTTTTTTCCCAAGCTCTTGAAATATTCTTGCAAATTCCTTACAAAATAGTACTTTTTGATACGTCCCTATGTCCAAAATATCCCCTCAAATATTACACTTAATTCATTGACTGAAGTGCACCCTACTCGAAAGGCAAGATCGATTCTATCCACCTTTATTAAGCCAAACGTTCACGGTCTTTCCCTTTAATTTTTTCCATTTTTGGGATCAGGCTGTTCACAAATTGCCATCTCACAGACCAGAATTCCATAGCTGAAGAGATCGATCTTTGTGGAAAAACGGGAACATTATCCCTTTAACGGATTAAAAATTAAAATAAAAACAGATTTACCATGGCTGAAAAGACAGCCACGCTGGAACTCGATACAGAACGATGAGTCAACTCTGATTTAGTTCAGTTATACTTTGATTACCTTTGGGTCTTGTGAATTTTGGTTTGCGTCAGGTGCGGCGTAAAGGACTCCTCCTGGATTTGATGTGCTGCACATATCCATGAAGTTAGCTGAACCATAATCTGATATCTTCGCTTTTCTCTGTGAACGATTCTCGATCCATAACAATTTCATTATTTATCTCATTCTTATCTTCTTGAAGTTGGTGAACTTCGTGGCACTTGGCAGCAAGACGTTCTCGGAGTTCTTGAACTAAATCGCTCATCTGATTTCCTTCGTTCCGAAGTCGCTGAATTTCATTGTTCAAATCGCTGTTCTCTTGTTCTAGTCGATTTCGCCGCAATTTTCGTTTTCTTATTCCGGAAAGAAATGGTAAGCGCCATACACCATGACTAGGTCCCTCATTTTGTGACCCTGACATAACGTCCGTGGTATACGACGGTCTAAATGAAAACATCAGCATGCATACAAAATTCATGCAAATATATTGCTTCGGTCATATATATTTGTTCTTCACACAGTAATACAGACTTTAGAGCCTGTTTAAAGTGTGTGTGTGGGGGGGGGGGGGGCATACTAAAACTGAAGGAGGCCATGATGCCCCCTATAGTTTCTTCTGCTGTGCGGTCTCTCTAATGATGAGATAATGGTCACGGAATCGTTGAGGTGCCTCTAGGTTCGTTTCAAATATTTCAAATATTTTGGTGTTCCTCCACCTTCAAATCACGTAACGCTTTTTCGCACGTATAATTCTAATTTATACAAAATTTGCCAATTGAAATTCGAATGGTGATACTTTTCAGACTTTGCAACATTTTGAAATCTGGATTTTTAATTTCTTAGTTTCAAATTTAGTTTTTATCGGGGAATGGTTCATTGGTAAAATAAAAATAAATAAAATAAATAATGCAGCAGTTAGCATTACAGAAAATTTTAACATAGGTCACTGGATAAAAAATAAGGAGATACACTGATTCACCACTGTTTCATTACGTCAATAATTGATAAATTCAGTTGACCTTTCATATTTAAACATTGCATATTTGGCCGGTATGTTGCGAAAATGCGAAAATCCGCTTACGTTGCAAGTTTTTAATATAAGCATGCACAAGTTCCAGCAGTGAACTTCCGTATGTTGAATTTCAATGCTTTTTAATTAAAGTACGATGTGCTGTCTGAATATCGAACAACATTTAAGATTGCAGCGCTTCTAAATGAATATGAACTGTAGTGTTTATGTTCATGAAGCTTTATATTGAAAAGACTGGCACACGCGTTACGGAGTTAACGCCAGAGCAGGCATCTTGATGTATATGTTATGTCATATTTTTATAAGTTTCCGCGTGTAATTTAACCCACAAAACGAAAGCTAAAGAGGTAGTATGGAAATGTTTTGAAACCGAACGAGGATGACCCTATCGCTCAGTTAACATGCAAGGTTTCTGTTCAGGTTGACCATAAAGAAATAAAAGTAATATACAATACATACCTGGCAAAGTATACGTCGATAATGAAACTATATACCACCTTGTTTATTATACCAAGACCTAGCACTTGTCCACTTTATATCGACTCTATATCCACCCTAAATCACTCTTAATCACTTTTAATAATGAAACTATATTCCGCCTTCTTTATGCCACTGTGGCGTGTCCATTTAATAAGGAAAATATATGGATACCTATTGTCCATTTTCCACTCGTGGAAATTTAGAAATTGTAATTGATTGTAACGAAAGCATTGGAACAATTTCGTTGCGCGTTTGTCGTTTTATTCGTCTTTAAAAATGCTGAAATATAATTCTTGCATTATAAAACTGACAAGATTGCAAATCCTTACGTACTCCTTGAGGGCATGCCTATTTTTAACATAAGCACGAATCCCAGTATTTCCAGAAGTGAAAGTCATGTGACATATGTCCGTAATGTAAGCATTTGGTTTATTGACATTTTTGAACTTCTATATCTTTTAGGCTTTTAAACTTAGTACGATATGCTGTCTGAATATCGAACAACATTTAGGTTCGCAAGGCCAAGGCATCCAAATAAATATGAACTGTAGTGTTTATGTTCAGAAGCTTTGTATTGAAAAGACTGGCACGTGCGCTGCACGCCGGGGTTACGCCAGAGCAGGCATCTTGTTGTATATGTTATGTTATATTTTTATAATTGCGCAAGTGTTCGTGTGTAATTTAACTCCGTCACAAAACGAAACCAAAGAACTAGTATAGAAATAATGTTTTGAAACCGAACGAGGATGACTCTATCGTTCAGTTGACATGCAAGGTTTCTGTTCTTGCCATAGCGAAGGTTAACTATATGAAATACAAGTAATATACAATGTATACCAGGCGAAGAACGTTGTTAATGAAACTATATACCACCTTGTTTATGCCAAGACACTTGTCCACTTTATATCGACTCTATAGCCACTCTAAATCACTCTTAATCACTTTTAATAATGAAACTATATTCCGCCTTTTTATGCCATGCACTTGCACTTGTCGAATCTATTTATTTTTATTTATTTATTTATTGAAATTCGCCAATTGTAACAATCAATTGGCAGGGACACCACAACAGTGTACACCAATTACAGTGGGCCCTTATATATATATCGATTTTATAGCCTCACCGATTACCAAGGCAGCAGATAAACGGATAAAGCAAACTAAACGGCAACACAAACTGATTTCAAACAGTTTTTTGCTTAATGATTCCCATTAGAATGACGTTAATATTTCCACGGATTCATGCTGTTATGATTGCGCGGACTTTGCTGTGGTCAAAGTTTAGAATATTTTCTTGAACAGCAGGGAATTTCAGTGTAGACTGTGCTTTCGCAATAGACTGGAGTAATCATTAGATACACATCCAGAAGGCAACCAGTAAAGTGAAACTACCTTGAAATTGGTACTAAAAAAGATAATCCAGAGACTGTTTTCTTGTGGTACTTGTGTCATTGTGTGTGTTTTTCCTTCCCTACATCGTTGCCAGAGTTTTCGCTCTGCCAACACGAGAGCAAAGTTGCCTGGTACGGCCTGTTGACGCATTACCGAGATTATAAGTGAAACCAGGTCGAATTACCTGCGAACAGGCTGTACATTAAAATAGTCACCCCCATAACCTTATGAGTGTTTAGCGTGACGTTCTCAGCAGTGCAATAATTGTACAAATATCTTTATGCTTTGGCTGCCAGGTTACTTTTCCTAATAACTCATTGATTTACCTCTGTCTAGTTTTAAAGTATAATATACACGTAATTCTACTAAACTATTATTTACATGCATAGCTTCATACTTTATTTGCACACACAAACTCTAATAACCCGGTTAACTAACCCTAACCCTAACCCTAACCCTAATGACAAGTCGATTTTCAGGGGTAGGCAGTCAACCGTATTTCTCCATCATTCTAGCGAAGATGCGAACAAAATACGCTTTTACATAATTATACCTTCAAGAATCTTGTACATTCCCAATTATATTTTTTTCCACTTTAAATATGCAAGAATGCTTTAAACAGCACAGTGTGAAATCAAAATTAGCACTGCCTTTTGTGTTGAGGTATCTCAAATCCTTAGAAATTAGACTGTGTTTTCAAGTTATGCATGATTAAACATTTATCTGCAGAGGGTACTGTATTTGTAGGTAGCATCTTCGACAGTGCTTCTTAAATCTTTAAAGGAAACTTTCAGCCAGGTATGTCCCTCGCTTTTGCTATATCCAGTGTATAAGGGATGAAACATGTACTTCTGTAGGTCAGTTTGATAGTGAAACTCACGGATTTTGGTATATGCTGGTTTTATGATTGATTTAGAATCTTGTATAATATCGAGACTTTGAAAGATTACTTTCAACAAGCAAACATGCATGGTTGAATGTTTTTATTTTAAGGTTTAAAAGCTATGCCAGGCATACACGTTTCAAATACTAGCCTATACTATAGTAAAACGCGACACTAATGCAATTAGCCGACGACCGCCTGTAAAGGCAGGAAATCGTGTAATTAAAACTGTATTTTAGTTTAATTAAGTATAATCTCTTCGTTTTTCGAAAACTTATAGATCAAGCGGTTATCTCGGAGTAAACAGTGAAATTAACAGTATGTCTTCGCCAGAAAATAGGCCGAAGGGTATACCGTCAAGCAGGATATCAGGTTTAATCAATCGTTTTAACGACGTGCCAACAGGAAGTGATGGAAAACCAACTAAGGTCACTGCTTTTACAACATTTTATTTTAGTGAAATATTTAATACTCCATAATAACAATTAGAACCAGAACTTAAAAACCAGTTTGAATATTTTAGAAGCAAGTTGATTCCAATGCAATACAGCTTTTTTGAAGATCGACTTTCAAATTTTATCAAAAAGATAAATAGGCTCAACATATCAAACTTGCATGGCCTCTGTTTGCTGATCTCTTGATAAATAGAGGGGTGCTTCTAAAAACGTTTCGTCGGTAATTTTTAGTGAATGTGTATTTTCTCAAGCAACTTCTCTGTTTTTCCGTTTAGTTTTCCATGTTTTCTTACGTTTGTTCTTCACCTCTTTCGCTCTTTTATTGTTTTAGTGTTGTGTTTAGTTTTTGAAATAAAAGTGAATCTTTGTTTTAGGATTTGGAGAAGAAAAAACCTAAGCCCAAACCAAAACCACCCATTCGAGGTAAAGTTATAGTTAACTTCCGGTGCAAATAGCAAAAAATATAGGCACACATGATGAATTATATTAGAAAAATATAACGAGAACGTATATACTTTTCCCAAGCAGTCCTGCGTTTGAAGGTATAGCAAAGTATAGAAGATACTTTAAACGTATATTTTGGTCTATAAAAACCTTTATAGTTTGATATTAAATTATGTCTATCGTAAATTCGCCCAATTTGGGCATGGCTCACGCATAACCGGTAAAAGTTCTCTGTTTAGCCATTAACCCTACAGGGGCCGGTTGTTCGAAACGCGGTTGTTCGAGACGGCGGATAAGTTCAAAATGGAAAAGAAAATTATCTCTTTATTGGACAAATAAGCTGAAATATTTCGATGTAAATAGCTTAATTTTCAATGAAATAATGCATAAAATGCAGGTTCAGGCATTCACAAGAAGCATGAGGGTATTTTTAAACTTTGGCTTATCCACCGTTTAAGCTAACCGCCTTTCGAACAACCGGCCCTCAGGTTCCCAAGGTTTATAAAATTGTGTATTATTATACACAGCAATAGAAAATGGGAAATTGTTGAATGAAACGTTTGTAACCTACCCTGAAACGGAGATACGGATATTACGATGTTTTGTAGGCGATCTGCTTCGTCAGCTTCAACAAGAGAGAAGTGAGATGGCAACCCCGATTCAACAACGTAAACAAGAAAAAACTGAAATGGCCAACGAAATTGAGAAACTTCAACACGAGAAGAGTGAGATGGCAAACCAGATTCAACAACTTGATAAAGAGAAAGCTGATATGGCTATCGAAATTGAGCAACTTCGAGAAGAGAGAAGTGAGATGGCAACTCAGAGTCAACAACTTAGTCAAGAGAAAACTCAAAAGAAGAACAAATTTGAGCAACTTCAACAAGAAAATAAAGGGATGGGAGCCCAGATTCAACAACTTAGTGAAGAGAAAACTGAGATGGCCAACGAAATTGAGAAACTTCGAAAAGAAGACGCTTTCAAGGAAAAACAGATTCGCCAAAACAAGGAAGAAATTGATGGAATGAGGTTTCGAATTCAGAAAATCCAGGACGAGTCTAAGAAACTGAAAGAAGAAAACGACACCATGAAAATTGAAATTCAACAACTTCAACATAGCAAAACGTCAAGCTTTGTAACAGAAAGTGGGACAGTAATAGTTTCAACTGGTGTTGAATTAGGAAGAGGTGCTTATGGAGCGGTGTACAAAGGAAATTACCACGGAACAGAAGTGGCAGTTAAGGAATTTTATGAAATTCTTATATCTCCGCATAATATGAAATTGCTTGAACGAGAAATTAACATCGCAGCACTATGTCGTCATCCCAATTTACTGCAATTCCTATGCGCAACGAAAACTGGTAATAATCGATTGTTAATCGTGACAGAGCTGATGGACACTTCTTTGCGCTCATTACTCGAGGAACAAACAAGAAAAAAATCGCGGTTCAATTATCAGCAGATTAAATTAATTTCCTTGGATGTCGCACGTGGTCTAAACTATCTTCATTCAAAGGAGCCAAGCCCAATAATTCACCGTGATGTCAGCAGTGCCAACGTGTTGTTAATGATCGAGAACCACGCAGTAAGAAAAGCCAAGATATCAGATTATGGTTCAGCTAATTTTATGGAAGCGTGCAATACAAAATGCCCAGGAGCAGCCGCTTACTCCCCACCTGACGTCGAACAAGGTCAACATAGCCCAAAGGTAAATAAAGGAACATAAAATATTCCAAAAGTAGTACAATCTTCGAGTATTTCATTTAAATAACGGAGGTGAAAATATTGCATTAAAAATATTCCATTGAATATATATCACGCAAATTACCCAATTCTTTTATTAAGCTATGTTTTCCTCCCTGTCATATCCTTAGCGAAGATTTGATATCTGCGGTAATTATTTTCAATTGCCCCTAAACGGACGAACTGGTAAATTAGATTAGACTGTTAAACTGTTGATTGGGCAATAAGCAATGTTTAACGACCTCTGAAACGCCCACCGAACGCAACTACGACTAGCTTTATTTGCATGGCGATACATGCAGAAATTGGCAAAAATTTTATTGAAAATACTGAATCAATATATGAGAACAATTAATGTAAATCAAATTAAGGTCGTCCCCTGACGCCCGTACTCAGAACATATATGTTTGTCCGTATTTTTAGATGCAATCGTGCCTTAGTATTAATATACATATATTATACTATCTTCCTTTATGTCACAGATTGATGTATTCTCTTATGGTTTACTGGTGAGCGAGATGTATACTCGTGAGCTTCCCTCTCCACGCGAAATAAATAAAAAATTACGGAGAATTAAGGATGCTGATATCAGAGATCTTGTAAAACAGTGCACATCTCTGGATCCAAAGCAAAGACCAACAATGCAACAAGTAATTGAATATTTACAACAGTGACAATAGCTTGACATGGTTTTGAAGACTATTAATCGGAGAACTCTGCACATGCTACTGGCTGAATGTTTCTGCACTCTGCATCAGTGATTATTAAATAACCTCGAGTTGCTCAGATACACGTATACGAATGTATAAAAGTTTTAGAGGTTTTGCAGCCGACTACGTTAACACATTTCCCAAATTTGCATACTGTCTGTGACTCAAAAAACATGCACTTGCGTATTAAATTTTCTAGCCAGATATAGCGCATTCCTTGCATAATTTAGATGCATATAACTATGTTAATTTAGAGACATATATAAACACTGATATTTCCCTACTTTTGTTAGTGAAAAATAATTGTATCTGAAAACCAAGTAAGTTTGAGTTCCTTCTATGTAGCTATATAAGGAAATATGATACAGTGAATAAAGGTGTGTTCAGGTGATTCAATTTTGTCAAATGGATGTTTCATATAGTCTGTGTCTTGAAATTTATATACGCAGATCAACTAAAGCCAATTAATGCAGTTCTGCTCTATTAATGACAGATTTCATTCCAAACGTCAGATATATGAAAAATTGGATCGGGCTATAGACTTGAAGTATACTGCAAAATAGCAATTTATGCAATACGCGATCTAAATTAAAAAGGAGATCGAACCATGTAGTAATGAAAACTACGATTAAATTGTTTACATTTTTGACCCCATGCACTACTAAATTAGTTTGTATCCATAACATCGTTTCGGCTCATTTTATGCCATTATGCTGTCGAGGTAGCACGAAATTTGGGTTTGGAGTTTTTACATCATTTTGACCAGTATGGCATAACGGACTGCACACTTTAAAAAGTGAAGTTCCTAAGAAAATATTCATTGTACAATAGAACAAGATTACAACAAGAATAAGTTTTTCATTCCACACATAGTTATGAGACAGTTCGTAATTACCTATTTTCTAGCAAAAACGACGAACACAGCGGCATGTCTGTTCACGAAACAAAACTCTGATTATTTCTAAATATGCAAGAATTGTTTAAACAGCACAGTGGGGCGCATAAATTACCACTCCCTTTTGTGTTGAGGTATCTCAAATCCCCAGAAATTAGACTGTTTCCAAGTATTCTATGACTAGATATGTATCTACGGAAAGTGCTGTAGGTTGCAGCTCGAAAGTCTTCCTCAAAGTTCTCAAGGTTACTTTCATTCAGGTGCGTTCGAGGGAACTAAGAAGGTAACTAGCTATATTGTAAGACGAGAGTGTAATTTTAAATGAATTTTAAATATGGTTTGTTATTCAGTATAAAACATAAAGGCATAACTTCGACGGCACTAAGAAGATAACTAGCTATATTCTTTATTAATTTAAAGTACTTCTGCAGGTTTTGAGGCAAGGCTGTAATTTGAAATGAATGTTAAATATGGTTTGTTATTCAGTATAAATCATGAAGGCATAGCTTCGTCACTTCGAAAAATAACTGTTTATCAATTAATACGCAGACATGATCACTGATTTACTGCTGTTTCAATGCATGGCATGGTGAGGCTATGAGATGGCACACGTTTCTTATTTGCTACTAAAGTGCGTGAAATCACAGTTGTGAAATGCAATAATGCCTGTTAGTTGATGCCGACCGCCCTTACAAGCAGGAAATGCTTAAAATCCAGTTCAGTTATAGGAAGTATAATTGCATGTCGTCAGAAAATTCCAACGGGTCCACGATATCTAGTGCTGAACTTAGGTATTACGAGAATGGAACACCATCATCTCGATGATGATATATTTCATATTTATGTATATATTATCATTGGGCTATTTTAGTAATAGGTAGAACTAATTTAATGCGATTATATAATGCAGTATACTCTCAAATTCGAGTTACATTAAAATACCAATTATGTTATAGAGTAAGTTCAAGAACCCGAGAGAAAAGAAAATTTTTCAAAACCAAATAATCACAACAAAACACCAATGTCAAAATACCTCAATTTACATCTTTACAAAATCAACAGAATCCTTGCATTTCCTGCAACCTGATTGGCTAAAGTAGCAAGCGGAATTTGCGATATTTGACCACGTGGGGTCACAGTCACTGATCTGAAATAAGACATCTATAGAAGGCAAAAGTGAAGCCGGAAGTGATCCGGCTGCCACCCGATTCAAAGGCCCCACTTTCGTATCATTTAATATAGATTTCTATCACAGAACCGTAGTTTTTTGCGTTTTTTGCTTTCTTCACGTCTCTATCCGAGCCAATTTTACAATCACAAACATAGAAGCATACAAGAAGAGATTTGAGCAAAAATGTTATGAAGTCGAAATATTCCAAATTTTTTGCTCAAATTTCTTCTCATATGCTTCTATGTTTGTGATTGTAAAATTGGGCCGGATAGAGACGTGAACAAAGCAAAAAATGCGGATCACTTCCGGCTTCACTTTTGCCTTCTGTAGATGCGTTATCCAGTCTTATTTCAGATCAGTGGCCACAGTATATTGCTTTATATATTTATCACATGCTTTCCGTTTTATATCACAAAAAGAACAATATAAAACCCTTTGTTCCAAGGCATACCCTAGAAGCTATTTATAAAAGTCTTATGCAGCCCTACTTTGATTACTGCTCGCCCCTTTAGGATACTTGTGGTAAACTGCTGAGAGACAAGTTGCAAAGATTTTAGTTCCGTGTAGTAAGAGTGGCTTAACAGTAACAAAATATGATATTTCATTTGGTGTCAAGTCAGTATTAATGTACAAGATACAGAAGATACTTAATGAGCACACTGCGCCGGGTCTTCGAGAGTCCTTCGTGAGAAGAGAAATAGATTAAACTAATTATCACCTCCGAAGTACTGCAACAGGCATAACACTGCGGTTGCGGTTCGGTTGCGGTCGACCGACAGAAACCGCAGACGACCGTCGGAAAATTCCACCTAGTGGAAACTGGAACTTTCACTTAATATATTGCCTTATTTTTAATATTTTTTATAGTCAAATAGAGCAGATTTTTGCAATACATTCCTGATTATTTCCTATGGTTTATAGAGCTGTTCTCTGTGAATAATTACAAAATTGACCTTATGAGTTTGCCAGAGGTTCAAGAGGAACGTGGAGAGCCAAAGGTGCTTGATTTAATCAACTTCTTCAGCGGAGCAGCCATCAGGCGCCATCCACCAGATGGCGAAACAGCTGAAGAACTACCGATAGGTGTTGAGGTAAATGCAGCCAAATCAGTAACCTCATTTGAATTTAGCATTCAGATTAATTGAAAACAGCTTAAAATCCTTATATAAAAAGGATCTATAAACACTTTGAGAAGGTCAATGGACAACACATGTAGTAAATAAAAATTGATATTTGAAGTGCATGTTGGCGTATAGTTTTGAACGAGCGATGACTGTCCCTGGACGATGGCACTACCTATCTTTCTTCAGCTTCTATAATCTATACATAAATCTTGTACTTGGCCTTTACAATTTTGTATTTTCAATTGTATAAGCAATTCACGCAAGTGGAAGGATCCAAGATTTGGCATTGTTATATAAAAAGAACTATCGTGGAGTAAGTTTTTGAAAAACAGGAAAAAATAAATTAAATGCCAAAAACCAATAACCGCCCAAGACATAAGGACTATTCCACGATGGGAACAGAATTCTATTTTGTACGTTTGTTTATGGAAAAAACCCATAAGTTTAGTTTTTCAGAGCTTTCGGTCCGCAAACCCGGACCATGATCAGTGCAAGAGGACTTGCCCTCTTCTATGATGGTATTGTGCTTTTCTATTTCGATGAAAAAAGCATATATGGTGGTCAAGATTAGCTTGGCGAATATGCATGACTCTCGCATGTTGCTCAGGGTTTGCTTAATTCATGGATGCTGTTACTCCCCATCCCTGTGCAACAACAGGAGATTTGCAAACAATTTACAATTATCACCCGAGGGTGCCACGGTGGAAAATTTAAATTTTTGAAGTTTAGGACAGTAACAGGAAATATTGAACCACGCAGTCGCACACGTACAAGCATACAAATCTTTATCACAAAACATTTTGTTCGAACTGTCATTACCGTTACCATTACCATTACCATTACCATTACCATTACCATTACCATTACCATTACCATTACCATTACCATTACCATTACCATTACCATTACCATTACCATTACCATTACCATTACCATTACCATTACCATTACCATTACCATTACCATTACCATTACCATTACCATTACCATTACCATTACATTACCATTACCATTACCATTACCATTACCATTACCATTACCATTACCATTACCATTACCATTACCATTACCATTACCATTACCATTACCATTACCATTACCATTACCATTACCATTACCATTACCATTACCATTACCATTACCATTACCATTACCATTACCATTACCATTACCATTACCATTACCATTACCATTACCATTACCATTACCATTACCATTACCATTACCATTACCATTACCATTACCATCACCATTACCATTACAAGTATATATCATTGTACTGAAGAAGAGCTGTTATTTCTCAATTTCATTTAATGGCAGGTAAATGATAGGAATTCAGAAAATAACGCTAGGGACGACATTCGGGATACGTTGGGAACAGTGATACTGGAATTAATAAGGTAGGTAATCTCGTTGTTTGCATTTGAATATTTAGTAAATCAAGACTTGAAAAAAATACTTCTTCTCCCAAGTCGAATTTAGAGAGATCTTTCACAGTATCACACGCTCCACATTATAATTACTTCTTAGGACAAATTATGTTAGTTAAATTAGTTCACACCTACTGAAGAAGTCTATCCTGTGCAGCAGATATCTGAGTTTTATTTGTATTATTTATTTTTATTTATACACATGAGAATTACTCACAAAACATTTGATACCTGTTAGTTAGGCCAAACAAGGCCAAGGTCATATTTTTTATGCGTTTTATCAGCGGAAAATTTATTCAAAATTTATAAGCATTTGTGCTACATCTAACTTTACACTCCATTTTTTAGAACACAACAAGGCGAAGAAATAAACGAAAAGCAAGAGTTCCGATCAGTTAGGGAGTCGTCTAATAATATTAAGGAGTTTACGATCCACGACGCGGTTAGCTCGTCGTCGCTAGTAAAATATTTTGTTTGAATTGTATTACGGAAAATTAATTATTCTGGCAGGACTTTGAAATAATCTTGTGAAATTTATGGATAATTAATGAATTTTATACTCGGCCGAACCAGATTTCGTGAATTAGGTTACATACACACCCTGTACACCCCATACAAATAAGATTGATAAATATGCAAATCAGTTAGAAACACTAGTGTGGATCTAGTGTTGTATCGGAAAAATAAAACCACTAATGTTTTGACTAATGATTTGCATACCTTTTAAAATTTTATTTATTACAAATTCATTGTATATATATATATATATATATATATGTATGTATAGGTTATCATATGAGGGGCGAGGTGATATCAGTTTTATCGCTTGAGGGACGATATCATAAATGTCACGAGTGAGCGCAGCGAACGAGGGACATTTATGATATCGTACTGAAAGCGATAAAACTGATATCACCTCGTCCCGAGTGTGATAACCTGTTTATCACATACTTCTTTTTCTTCTATAAAGCAATCGACATCGGTTGAAACAAACCCCGAACTGCTCGAGTCAGCCATCTTTGTTTTGACAGCGGCAAATGCAGTGGGACAAAAAGCGATATCAGTGACAAAAAGCGATATCAGTGACAAAAAGCGATATCAGTGACGATATCGTTTTTATGTCACCCTGTTATCGCCCTGATAAAGGCACAAGTATGTGATAAATATATATATATATATTTAAATATTACATACAAACGTTTCCATTGTGCTTAGAACTTCCGATGTCTAGATGATGCAGTTTCATTTAAGCTATCAAACAGCTATCACGTTGCCGCTGCTTTCATGTCATCGAGAAGCCGTATTAGAGGGCGTCGTTAGAATGACAACGCTGTCATTGGACCACAAATTATGCATACCTATTGTCTCGCGTGTGGAGTTCTTTGTTTTGCAAGCGGTTCGTCGAGCTGCTGCGTCGTGAATCGTAAACTCCGTAATTTCGCGACTTTATCAAACATTTGCAGTACTTAAAAAACAAATGATTATAGGGTGAACATGCAATGAAATTTTGAGTGTTTTGAGGAATCCTTGAAAACCCTTATAAACATTGTTAAATTCCCTGTACCAGTCTAGATCATTTGGAAACTCCTTTAGTGTCATTTTTATAAAACTATGTCACGAAGTGCTGTACATATAAAATGTGTTTCTTTGATTCCATAAATTTTTATGTGTTTCTTTGATTCATGATTTTTTTAGGACGCTAATGAGGAAAAAAAGGGAGATGAGAAACAGGACAAATCAAAAGATCCTGAAGGTAATTTCGTATAGAGAATCGCTTAACCTGCTGAATATTGTTAAGTTAGGTCACAAGTTGACAATAAAGTGGACCCAACCAGACGCTTTCGATTCAGTAGCGGGTATCTCATCATAAGATTCTATAGATAAGTGAAAAGTAAAAATTAAAAACAACAGAAAAATGAAAGCTTTGTTACAAAAATTCGTGACACATGTCCGTTTATCCACTACAAGAACAAAAAAAGGAGTCACAAATATTTTTTTATTCCCAGGCCCTCAAGATAAGACACAATACCCACAGGGGAGCCAATTACGTAAGCCAGAGATTAAACCAAAACCGGAAACCCTCAAATCAGGCAACATTCGGAGCAATTATGGAAAGGAAACTCCTAGAAAAACTCATGGAGAGGTAAACCACTTTACATTTTGGTCCATTTTTATTAGTTAGTGTACAAACGTATGCACTTTTTCAGAACAACCGTCTTTGAATATTGTGATATCGCCATGGAAAATGACATAAGGAATATTGTTTTTGTATTAGTTCATTACGTTATTCTTGAGACAAATGTTTAAATGTAAATGTTTAATGGAACTGAATAAGCTAATTATCGATTGAAATGTGGCAAAGGCAAACTTTTTAGATTGTTTATAGTAAATGTACACAAGGCGTTAGGCCTGAGTTCACCGCATAAATATTTCGAGATTGCAAGATATTGTCGTCACTTTCACTATGTTATATGGAATTATGTAATAAGCTGTAGAAATTTACTATAAAACTTCTTTATTATAGCTATTAAATCAAACTATCAGTGACTTTCAACAAATTAACCTTGAGATAAGCGAACAACTCCAACAAGGAATACGTACGATGGACTCCAAGGTTGAACAATTTTGTCAAGACATGAGAAAAAAGGCGAAAGATATTGACCAACTTCGACAGGAATTGGAGCAACTTCGACAAAACAAAAGCGGGATGGTGGCGCAGATTACACAATTAGAACAAGAGAAAGTAGAAAGTGAAAACGAATTTGAGCAACTTCGTCAAGAGAAAAGTGAGATGGTGGCGCAGATTAAACAGTTAGAACAAGAGAAATTCAATTATAATAACTTGTAGGTACACCACGTAAGTATTAAATACTGCAAAGCTTTCGGTCCGTTAACCCGGACCTTCATCAGTGCAATCAATGATGAAGGTCCGGGTTAACGGACCGAAAGCTTTGCAGTATTTAATACTTACGTGGTGTACCTACAAGTTATTATAATTACTAAAGTCGCCATGCAATCATACAAGAAAATTATATAAGAGAAATTCAATCAAGCTAACGGAATGAAACAACTTCGACAAGAACAAAGTGCAATGGCGACGAAAAATAGAAGATTAGAACAAGAGAAAGTCAACCAAGCCAACGGCATGAAACAACTCCGACAAGAAAAAAATGCAATGGCGACGAAAAATAGAAAATTAGAACAAGAGAAAGTCAACCAAGCCAACAGAATGAAGCAACTTCGACAAGAGAAAAGTGCAATGGCGGTGCAGATTCAACAATATAAACATGACGAAAGTGATATGGCCGACGAAATTAAGCAACTTCAAGACGAAAATGCTACTCAGAAAAATATTATGCAAAAGTTGGAACAAGAAAAAAACAACATGAAGATCGAAGTCCAACAACTTCAAGATATCACAAAGTCCAGCTTCATAACAGAAAGTGGGACAGTAGTAGTAACAACTGGTGTTGAACTAGGAAAAGGTGCTTATGGAAAAGTGTATAAAGGAAATTGTCACGGAACAGAAGTGGCAGTGAAGGAATATTTCCAAGTTGTTCTAAATCCGCATAACATGAAACTGCTGGAACGAGAAATTAACATCGCTGCACAATGTCGACATCCAAATTTGTTACAGTTTCTATGCGCGACAAAAAATGATCAAAAAAATTTGTTAATCGTGACAGAGCTGATGGACATTTCTTTGCGCTCATTACTCGAGGAACAAGCAAAAAATGAGTCGCGGTTGGATTATCAGCAGATTAAATTAATTTCCTTGGATGTCGCACGTGGTCTCAACTACCTTCATTCAAAGAAACCAAGCCCAATAATTCACCGTGATGTCAGCAGTGCCAACGTGTTGTTAATGATCGAGAACAATGCAGTAAGAAAAGCGAAGGTTTCGGATTATGGTTCAGCTAATTTTATGGAAGCCTGCAATACAACATTTCCAGGATCAGTCGTTTATGCCCCGCCAGAAGCCAGACAAGGTCAACATAGCCCAAAGGTAATGAGTATTAAGTATGGTTTAAGTAGAATATTATATGTTATATAAAACTGGTTCAACAGACAATTTAATTGGCTAATGCACTTGCGTCTTGAGGCGATGATGCATGCTACGAGATTCGGAATTTTTGCGTAAACTGCCGCTTGCGAAAAAATGTTAATTAATTTAAAGTTAAAACAATTAGCTTGTAGGAACACCACGTGAGTATTAAATACCATCCGTTAAACCGGGCCTTCGTCAGTTCAATAAGGAAGACCCAGGTTAACGCTTTGCAGTGTACCACCACGCAGCATACAACATACCACGCAGTCGCAGAAGCCAGTTGTATAGGCTTATAAAAAGGTAGATAATTGAAAGTATATCTTCTTCCCTTAAATCATCCTACAGATCGATGTCTACTGCTTCGGTTTATTGGTATGTGAGACGGACACTTGTGAGCTTCCCGACCAAGCAGGAATCCAGAATCAAATAAGAAGAATTCAAAATGCTGAGATCAAAGATTTGGTAAAACTTTGCACAGCAAAGGAACCGCGCCAAAGACCGACAATGCAAGAAATAATTGAACATTTGCAACAAGTGATATAAATAGGGACCTTTTCCATGGATTGATCATAAGAGTAAGAAGTGTAATTTTATTTTAATGAAACGTATACTATGCACCTTATATTCTGTTGATATAGATCTATATAATCTCAGTACAAAATATTGTTAAAATAATAGTAATTCATAGCGATTTTGGAATGAAAACATTACCTTTAGGCGTTCAATTTCAAACTATTATTGCAAGCATTCCGAGAACCATATACCTACACCACTGTTTGCACGTTTGTGTCACTTGATAAATGGTAAAACGCGATGATCATGTAGACTTGCCAAAATAAATCAACTTTATTAAAGTTGTGTAGCTTTTGTATACGTATCAAAATAAATGTCTAATGCCCAGGTCGCGTCGAATGTAATTCAAATCATAGGGTGCTTTCCTTTATACGGTAAAAACGGCCAGACCTGTCCTGTTGTATTTCAGTACAGACAGATTACTGGAATATTTTTTTTTGAACGATCTACTCTATTTCAATTCAAAATACGACCGGTCTGACTATTTTGGCCCCTTAATGGAAAGCGCCCATAGACGAGTTGATAATGAAGTTTATCATCTCATGAGGCCTGGTTCTCATATGTCGCCGACGGTTGGCGATGTATTGTTGTGGTCGGTGACGAGGAAAATTTATTCAAAATAATGAGGACTGAAGTTGTACGCTACTCGAAAGCGAGATGGATTAGAACTTGTCTTTAATAAGCGAAGATGATTGTTTTAGTGAAAACTAGACAGAGAACGGCCGGTATTTCCAAACGTTTTGTTTATTTGCAACAGAGAATCTTGCCGGACAACAATCGTGAGGATAGAGACGATTATTCCTCGCTATATTCACAAGCTCGTAGGTAGTGAATAGCCAATTAGAATGCAACATTCGCAATAGTACTCGACTAATTTTTTACCAGGAATAAATAGGTTATACAGCAACAAAATCTGTAGAATTTTTAAAATGTAATAATGGAAATTGAAACACATAATAGGAATTTAAATTTCAAAACATTGTAAAATATTGGTTAAATATGTGGCTGTTCTATTATTCAGGTGTTCATCTTCTACGTATTTGTATCATTATCTTTATATATGAACTGATACCAGTGTTCTAACAAGGAAAAATTAAGATGCGATTGAATTATGTAAAATTACGAACACCTGCATCGTTAAGTGCATGGCATTAAAATGTACGACAAGCTTTGTTTTTCCCTAGGTATCATGCGCGTACCACGTGTATGCTTAGGCCCGATTTACACTACTGTCGAAGTTTCTGTGATCACAGTTGCAATTTTGCATTGTTAAATCCAAAGTTTTGAACATTTTGTACTGAATATTAGGATGAAATAACAGCGGAGGTTGTGAGCTCCTCCGCAAAACAGGAAAACGCAAAAAAATTCTTGACTATAATTATCATCGTGCAGAGAAAGACCCTCATTTGCCCACAGTGACCAGGTCTGTTTCCCTCATCGGCGAAAACTTTTCCGTTTGAAGTTATCAGCTAAGAGACGTTTCCAAATTTCAATTACTTCCTGCATTGCTGGCCTGACTTGCGGATCTGGTCTAGTACAATTTATCACCAATTGCTTGACGTTATCGTTTACTATTCTTTCCTTCTGATTTCTTCTATCTTGAACATCTGGTTGCTCACAAATGGAAATCTCACACACTAGAATGCCATAGCTGAAGACATCCATCTGCGTAAAAAAAGAATATTATATCCAACTTATAACATTCAAATATTAAAGTCAATCCTACCTGCATATTTTCATTACCTTAGGATCTTGTTTGGCTTGACTTGCTTCAGGGGCAGCGTAAAGGACCGCTCCAGGATTTGGTGTGTTACACATATCGATGAAGTTAGCTGAACCATAATCTGATATCTTCGCTCTTCTTACTTTTTTTTTCTCCATCCACAACAAAACATTGGCACTACTGATATCGCGATGGACTAATGGATTTGGCTGTTTGGAATGAAGGTAGTTGAGGCCACATGCTACGTCCAAAGATATCAGTCCGAGCACCTCGAACTCCAACCTCGAACTATCTTTTGCATGTTGTTCAAGAAATGCACGTAGAGACACATCCATTAATTCTGTCACAATTAACAGACGATCTCTAACATCTTTCGACGCGCATATGAACTGAAGTAAATTCGGATGGCGACATTGAGATGCGATGTTAATTTCCCGTTGGAGAATCGTCAAGTTAAACGGGGATAAAATTATGTTGTGGTATTCTTTAATTGCTACATTTGTACCGTGAAAGTCTCCCTTGTAAACAGCACCCCAAGCACCTCGTCCTAATTCATTATTGGTTGAAAATTGAACTGAACCTCTTTCTATAGTGAAGCGTGACATGGCATTTTGTCGAAGTCGCTGGATCTCGTTACCCTTGTTAGCGTTGTCTCGTCGGAGTTCTTCTAATTCATTGCTCAACTCATTCTTATCTCCCAGAAGCTGCTGAATTTCATTGTTTTTACCATCAATTTCTCGTCGGAATTCTTCCATTTCATTGCTCATCTCATTCTTATCTCCCAGAAGCTGCTGAATTTCATTGTTTTTACCATCAATTTCTCGTCGGAATTCTTCCATTTCATTGCTCATCTCATTCTTATCTCCCTGAAGCTGCTGAATTTCATTGTTTTTAGCATCAATTTCTCGTCGGAATTCTTCCATTTCATTGCTCATCTCATTCTTATCTTCCTGAAGCTGCTGAATTTCATTGTTTTTACCATCAATTTCTCGTCGGAATTCTTCCATTTCATTGCTCATCTCATTCTTATCTTCCTGAAGCTGCTGAATTTCATTGTTTTTACCATCAATTTCTCGTCGGAATTCTTCCATTTCATTGCTCAACTCATTCTTGTCTTTCTGAAGCTGCTGAACTTGACAGCTCTTCACGGTGTTCTCTGTTCGAAGTTGCTCATGTTCACTTTCCAGATCAAAGAATTCGTGCTCGATTTGATTTATCATGGTGGCCATACCTTTGTGATTCTCTTGCAATACTTGTTCGTTTGTGTTGTTTAACCTTATATTCTGCTGCATTTTTTCATTTTTCTCGCTTAAGATGTCGTTCTCCTCTCGAACTCGCCGCAACTCGCTACGACTTAATATATCGATATCGGTAAGCAGCTTTCGGAATCTAGCAAACTTTCCGATTTTATCAGAACCAGCATTTTCTGCAAAAGCCATAACTGTTTACATGGAGACAACACAATTTTAGGATCTGAATGAAAACATTACAAAAATATTGTAAATTGTTTTATTTGCTATTTTTTTGAAATTGACGCAGTTATTTGTTTTATATGAAACCAAAAAAGATCACCTGAATGAGTTATTTTTTTATTAAGTAAACATATTGCAAATGATGCATGTATAATATTACATTAATAAAGAGTTATATAAATAGCACTAAATTTCATAAAATAATCTTGCATACTCGTCAAATGTACGGTAAGTAATAAAGGAATGTGCAAAAAGTGGTAAGCCCCTCCCATTGCTAATCGTGGCAGCTTCCCGGCGTGCAAAAAACTCCACCATCTACCACATATCCTACTACCTGAAAACAGACCATTTAACACGCAGGGCTTGGTTTTTGCGTGAAGAAATTTGATTTGCTAACTAATTTGCGAAGTTCTGAAGACAATCAATAACCATGATTTCATAAAGAGAACAGATTAATTTATCGACCAACAAATGCCTCCAAATGTTCTCCTAGAGAGCGTTTAAGCTGTGTGTGAGCAGTCAAGCTCAAGAGAAATGAATCATTAGTACTTCCATCTTGCAACGATTGAAGTGTTATAATATTAATTGCGAATAATCGAAAATTATATTTATACCTATGAATTCTTGTGGCAAAAATCAATAATTTGTGACACCTATATCAATTACTTTCGATGTCATGCTATGTGTTATATTTTCATTCCATTGGCTTTCGCCGTAACGCATTAAACATCATTGAGTTAAACGATTTAATTTTTACACAACAAAAAAGAGAAACGATTAAACTTTCTAACAGGTATATTTATTCGTGTCATTATGGCTAGAAATAGCCAAATAATCGTGTGTTGAAAATTGTAGGTCGAAAACCGGCCCATTTTTTCCATCGCCTTGGATTGAACAGAGAATCTTATTAGCGCATCGTGTTTACCGTGCATTGAAAGGATTAAGTCCTCAAATTCAATAATTTCATTTCGTTTTTCAAGACACCCTGCAGAGCGGATAGTTAAAATACGCGAATTAATTAATCATAACACATTTAAAGCCATCTATCCGATCTGCCTGTTGCTGTTATTCTTCTAGGGCGGGTTGTATAAAACTGTTTAACTACACTTTGCATAGTAAAATCCTAGTTAACTCACAAAAACACAATTCAGATTGGCCAATTCTTGATGTCCTTAAGTACAGTTAAAAGTTTACTAGTCTTTCATACAATAACTGCATGGCCCCCGTGAAGTAAAACGTTTCTGAAATATTATATAAACATAATGCTGTCGATAAATTCATGCGTGTTATTCCCATGTAACCAGTGCTATTATTACTTCTACACAAAAAACCCCAACCGCTGTGTAGGGAATGTTGTATTGCACAAGACATGGATACATCCATGCATCTACGCGCGATAATGCAAGAGAGAAACAAGATTCAAATTGAAACCGTTCTCCCTGATTTAATCTTACTTTTCGGAAAATAAAACATTTATTAAAGTCACGTAATATTGAGAATAATTATGAATTCAACAGTTCGTGTTATTAGCTCTAGCTTTGCTTCGACGGAAAGCGAAATCTCGTTCTTGCTAATTTATATTACCCTCCATGCACTGCACCGTCAATTTTTTTTACTATCACGTCTCACAAGCTATATATAGTATTATTTATTCGCAATCACAATGCAATAGTACTAATAAAGCGTAATACAGCTGAACCATCTCGAGATTATTCAAATACAACATAATAGTTAAAATACCTGAAATTCGTCAATGATGATCCAATTCTTGAAAATTGTTCAATTTAAGTTTCTACATCACTCTTATTCATGACACATAAGTCATATAAAGCATGTTAAAAGATTCCCTGCCCTTATATTCTCTCGAACCATTATGCAACTACTGTTCGATGCAAAAATTCCAAACTATGGAAATGCAGAGTAGTTACCATGATTTCACGGGAGTGTTCATTCAAGCATTTATATTTCCGCCTACACTACATTTGTCTATAACTCGGGAAAATTCGGATAGTAGCCATGTTTATTAACAGTCCACATAAAAAGAAGTTATAAAAAGAAAATACAAATATAATATTTTTGCTATCTTTTTGGGAAACTTCGATTTTTGGCACGTGCGGGAAAAAACTTTGTATACTTCAATAACAACTATAGCACAGCGGGATAGAAAAATTCCACTGTCTTTTACACTGAATTATCTCAAATCCTTAGAAATTAAATTATGTTTCCAAGTATTGCATAATTAGATATGTATGTTTATAACATAACATTTAAAGTACGCGCGTGCTGATTGGCGAGAAGCGTGTTTCTATAACTGTGAAGAAACATGGGACATTCCGCCGAACTTGACAAGCGAAATAATGTAATGAGAATTTGTAATTGAATCGAATTATAATATTTGTACAAAATCTTTTTATTGAGTTATATTATAAAATAAATAGAAAACATTTTCTCTGTGTTTCTATACAGTTATAGAAACATTTGTGGGAGTTTGGGAGAACTCGAAATAACGTGAAATAATCCCACTGATTATTTCTCGTTCTCCCAAACTCCAACGCGTTTTTCTGTATAGAAACACGGAAATGTTTTCTATTTTTTAAATAGATACTAATGCAGGTAGCAGCTTCGACAGTACTTGTCGAATGTTTGACATAGGGAATATTTAGTCAGGTATGTAGATAAATTTATTTATCGATTCTCTTCGGCTCTTAACCTCCATCATACTATCATCCCAGCTATGCACCACTGAGATATGTCAAACGTCATGTTTTATCTACCTGTGTGTCAAATATCGAAGAGCTTTATTCGTTCGAATTTAAAATTGTTCTATCACAAATGTTGAAATTCGATGTTTAATAGGACGTATATATAAGACCGATTATAAGACCAAGTTATAACTTCTTCGCATTTCTATAATTTATAGGGGGGATATTTCTTGGCTATAGTTGTAGAATTCACAACATGTCTTCACCAGAAAAAAAGACGAAATGTAAAAGCACAAAGATGTTGAGTTTAATCAGTCGTTTTGACGCCGGTCCAGCAGGAAGTGGGAACGAAGCAGACACTGGACACTATTCCCCAGATAACGAAACATCTGAAGAAATAGCAACAAATACCAAGGTAAATACTTGTACATCATCGGATATTATAAAAATACTTTAAATTCCAAGCATGCATTTGGTCAATTATAGGCGATATGTACCGATTTAAATTACTGGTCAATTTAACGACGTCAAAAGTCTAAAAATGTATTTGAAGCATTTTACTTATTAATTTACAGCTTAGCCTAGCTAAAAATGTAAAAAAATTGTCGATTAGTTTAAAACAAAATTTCTCATTCCTGGTGTATATAAGATATCTCAATTAATGGGATCCTAAAACTGGACTCCGTTCTAGAAAGGAATTCGTATTGAAAGTGTTGGTAATGGTTAAATAACATTGGGGAAACTTTTTATATTTTTCGAATGACGACCAAATCGTGACATGAAATATGAAGAAATTTGATTATATAGATATACAATGGAGGACTCAAACAGCGAACCGACCATGTCATCACACAAATGTTATCCCGCTGGTGTAGTAATTAATTTTTAAGAGCCATGTTGATATAACTCAATGGGAACACGTAAATTTCCCGTCCGCTCTTTAAAGTTGATATAAATTGCTCTGGCCGCACCGATGAGTCGGCTCCTTCAGATTAATTTGTATTTTCTATTTTGTATAGGAAGAATTCATTCAAGCAACGTTTGAAAAGCAAGTTGGAAGAATCCAAGATTTTAAATTCTATTTCGAGAGGAACAATCGTGGTGTAGGTTTCTGAAAAACGTCTAGAACAAAATATTTAAATGCAGGCTATCAGACTAGCTGCATGTGTGTATACTTGCAGGCTCAGGATATACTTGAAGGCTAGATAAAAATAGCTCAGTAAAATATTAAAAAGTTTAACAATAATATTCAAAACAATTATAAACTATAGCTGAATTATTGTGTTTGATGACCACATCAGGATATATTCCCAAAAATACTTTCTACTCAAGCCGACTATATAAGTTGAAAAAGCGTGAACACTTTAATCGAGATTTGTTTATGAATTATCAACTAATTAATTTCATTTTGATTAATTTACAGTACTTTAGTTGCTACATAAAGTAAAATCGCACTGAAGTCTTGAAATTTATACGTCTCCTATCAATACTTAATATATAGTTAAATGAGAGGTTTGCAAACAGGGAATATATGGTATAATTCATATAATAAAGTGGAACATAACCTACCCTCGCAGGTTACGAGTTTGTTTATTCGAACAGTTCTTTACAAAGTCCACGTAAAATTTCATATTTTCACCGGGTGTGACGTCATACCGAGGGATATTAATTTTTTTGGATCGGTATCGAACTTCGAATTCACAATTGCAAAAACAAATATTATCATGCGTTCAGTAGATTCGCCACATTAAACGAGGAAGAATTAAAATGTGTAGTAAAACAATTATTGGATGAGGTTTTTGTGATATGCAGAGTTATCAAGATCGAGGTAACATAGTATTAACGAATGAAAAACCTTATTTAATAACAACATCCAAAAATACATCAATTGTTAATACATAAATACATTCAAATGAATACCGCTTGTTAACCACCGCAGGCTCACTTGCAGATAACTCAGTTATCTGCTAGCAGTAACTGAACTTTGCGTGATTGCGCGATTTATCTGTCAACTATCAGCCAATCAAATTGCTTTTACTGGTATAATGTATAATAACAAGAATTATTCAGACATATATAATTCTTGATATATGCAAAAACAGCTATAGCACAGCGCGACAGAAAAATCCCACTGTCTTTTGCACTGAATTATTTCAAATCTTTAGAAATTAAATTGTGTTTCCAAGTATTGTATGAATAGATTTGTATGTATAGATAATACTGCAAGTAGCAGCTTCGACAGAACTTGACAAATTTCTGACATAGGGAATATTTAGTCAGGTATGTAGATAAATTTATTTATCGATTCTCTTCGGCTCTTAACCTCCATCATACTATCATCCCAGCCATGCACCACTGAGATATGTCATGTTTTATCTACCTTTGTGTCAAATATCGAAGAGCTTTATTCGTTCGAATTTAAAATTGTTCTATCACAAATGTTGAAATTCGATGTTTAATAGGACGTATAAGATCGATTATAAGACCGAGTTGTAATTTCTTCGCATTTCTATAATTTATAGAGGAGATATTTCTTGGCTATAGTTGTAGAATTCACAACATGTCTTCACAAGAAAAAAAGACGAAACGTAAAAGCACAATGATGTTGAGTTTAATCAGTCGTTTTGACGGCGGTCAAGCAGAAAGTGGGAACGAAACAGATACCGAACACTATTCCCCAGATAACGAAACATCTGAAGAAATAGCAAGAAATACCAAGGTAAATACTTGTACATCATCCGATAATATAAAAATACTTTAAATTCCAAGCATGCATTTGGTCGATGCATGCAAATTATAGGCGATATGTACCGATTTAAATTACTGGTCAATTTAACGACGTCAAAAGCGTAAAAATGTATTTGAAGCATTTTACTTATTAATTTACAGCTTAGCCTAGCTAAAAATGTAAAAAAATTGCCGATTAGTTTAAAACGAAATTCCTCCTTCCTAGTGTATATAAGATATCTCAATTAATGGGACCCTAAAACCAGCCTTTGTTCTAGAAAGGAATTAGTATTCGGAAAGTGTCGGTTAATCATTGCCAAAACTTCTTATATTTCTTGAATGACGACCAAATCGTGACATAAAATATGAAGCGAAGAAATTTGATTATAGATATACAATTGAGGACTCAAACAGCGAACCGACCATGTCATCACACAAATGTTATCCCGCTGATGTAGTAATTAATTTTTAAGAGCCATGTTGATATAACTCAATATCAAAGTTAAAAGCTACTTTTATAAAACATATGAACACGAAATTGTTTCATAGTTTTGAAATATCACAACGTATTGCGCAATATCATTTTTCCAAATATAATTTTTCCAAATCACGAACATTTTAAACTTCTCTATAGAGAAGTTGTATACAAACATATGATATAAATTGCTCTGGCCGGCGTGGCCGCACCGATGAGCAGCTCCTGTAGGTTAATTTGTATTTTCTATAATTCGGGAGAATTCGGATAGTAGCCATGTTTCAAATCACGAACATTTTAAACTTCTCTACAAACATATGATATAAATTGCTCTGGCGGCACCGATGAGTTAGCTCCCGCAGATTAATTTGTATTTTCTATTTTGTATAGGAAGAATTCATTCAAGCAACGTTTGAAAAGCAAGCTGGAAGAATCCAAGATTTCAAATTCTATTTCGGAAGGAACAATCGTGGTGTAGGTTTCCGAAAAACATCTAGAACAAAATATTTAAATGCAGGCTATCAGGCTAGCTGTGTGTATACTTGCAGGCTAGATAAAAATAGCTTAATAAAATATTAAAAAGTTTAACAATAATATTCAAAACAATTATAAACTATAGCTGAATTATTTAGTTTGATACCACATCAGGATATATTCCCCAAAATACTTTCTACGCAAGCCGACAATATAAGTTGAAAAAGCGTGAACACTTTATTCGATATTTGTTTATGAATTATTAACTACATATTAAAGTAAAATCGCACAGAAGTCTTGAAATTTATACGTCTCCTATAAATACTTAATCTAGTTAAATGCATGAGAGGTTTGCAAACAAGCTAGGAATATATTGAATAATTCAGATGATAAAGTGGAGAACATAACCTAAATATTCTTTTTCGCAGGTTACGGGTTTGTTTATTCGAACGGTTCTTCCACAAAGTCCACTTGCGGGTAAAATCGAAAGTGGCGATCAGCTAATAAAGGTATTACTTTATTCATTTGTTTTTATAAATAATGCATGTTAAAAAAAATGTTAATATTAGGCCAAAGTTGTTCTAATTTATCATTATAATTGCCATGCATGCAGGTAAATGACACAGATGTCAAAAATTCAGAAAGTGTCGCTTTCAATCGGATCTTGGATAACTTATCTGGAACAGTGACGCTGGAAGTCTCGAGGTTAATTTTAACCCATTTAAATTTGCCTTGTATATATTTAGTAATTATTATACATAATGTATAATTTGTATGGTTTGCAAAATGGCGGTCGCCACAATCAGAAAACCGGGACCCAATTCTTCGAATCTTCGTAACATATCACTTTAATATCCAGTAAAAAAGCTTAGGTTGACCAAATGGGGATAACCTTAGGGATAATTTAAGATATGTTTCCTCTAAAAATATGAAAAGAAGAAAATATGATCTGTATCTTGATGATTGTGGCAATTTCCCTCGAGCACGCACACCAGCTATATAGGAACATTATGCATGTTGATTTAAAATAATTGACCGAAAAGCAGAAATCATACGAGCCAATTTTGCGAATTATATGCAGCTAGTTTTTCACTGCAATTAATAGAATCAGTCAAGACAAAGAGGTGAACGAAAAGGAAGAGTTAGAAGAGAAGGAATTGGTTGAAAGGATGCCTTCTAATACCGCGACGATGATTATATCAAGAATTGTATGTTTATTATTGTATTGCTATATCATATATGAATTTTGCAAAACATTCTTACGAGACTTCCTCGGTAGCTGCGACTTTGTATATGATGAGAGTCAAGGGAAGAAGCATGTAATAAAAGAGCTTGTGCTGGCAAAACACAGCAAAAATGTAGCATAACTTTGGTTATATATATATGTATGTATATATATATATATAATATATTATATATATATAATATATATATATATAATATAATATATATATAATAATATATACACCCATTTGCAAAAACGTTGGCCGCAGATAGATAGATAGATAGATACTCGAAGTCTAATTAGAAATGCATATGACTAGATTTGCATGGGATTTCAATCATATTACACAAGATATGCAATTCTAATTAGATTTCGAGTATCTATCTATCTATCTATCTGCGGCCAACGTTTTTGCAAATGGGTGTATATATATATATATTATATATATATATATATATAATATATTATAATATATATATATGTGCTTTTTTTGCTCTTAATTGAGCCATGTGTTCACTTGTGGATATATATGTGTAAGGTGTATTTTGTTCTTCTACACAAGCATGACCAACCGCGCAGTTGGTCATGCTTGTGTAGAAGAACAAAATACACCTTACATATATATATATTAATATAATTATATATAATATAATTATATATTATATATATATATTATATATATATATATATGTCTGTGTACATGTGATTTTGGGACAACCAACATTCACCTGTTTTTGATGGTAAGGGTGATGTTACAATTTTGGGCAATTACACCAAGAATGATATTGCACGGATAGGCACCTGGGGTATTTTTGCATGCAAAATAACTCAAAATAAGTTCCAATGGACACATTCCTATTAAAGGTTCTCAAAGTAAAGTATTCTGCGCAGGCTACTTGTTGTTTTGCCCAGTTCCCGCGCCATCTTGAATTTATCACATGTCACGTCTCCGCGATAGGTTAAAAACGGCATCTAATAAATTACATTAGGTAAAATCTACAGCTGTATTTTGCATAACATAATAAAGAACATTAAAACTGCGTAACGATACCTTTAGGACGCTGAGAAGGAAAAAAACCGGGATGAGATCGAGGGCGAACAAAATAAAACCGAAGGTAATTTTTGAAATTTCGCATGAGGAAATCAAAACTGTTCGTCCTGTAGCAGAGTAATTTTGTCAGTTCTTGAAGAAAAAATTAATTTTACTATTGGTGTAGAGCGCAATATAAAAAAACTCACGCAGAATATATTCAAAATACCACAAATTTGCAATCATGCAGTAAAGTGTTATCTATAGACCAATAGGCAAGAATTAAACTTAATCACCTTCCCAAGTGTTACATCTGCTCAAAATCTCTTTAAACATTCTTTCCATATCCTTAACTGGTGCACTTTACGTGGAAATTATTTGAAGAAATAATTGTATATTTGTAAGGAATGGAAGGTAATATTGAGAAAGCTTCCGGGAGAGAAATAGAAGGAGCCCGACGACAGGAAATAACACCAGTAAAGGAAGATAATGGTAAACAAGAAAACGTTGATAGTGAAAGTGTCATGCAACGTCCTCAAGATGGGAATGCTGAAGTGATCACTAACGTGATACGCCCTGATGATGATGTAAGCCTGAACGGAGACAGAAAGGAGGGAAAAGGAACGCAGAAAAGGAAACCCATGCCAAAACCAAGAAGTGTGGGCGATGGATTGTTTTGGTTAGAGAGAAGAAGACGTTCTAGAGCAATTGGGCTAAAGGTAAACGACTTACTGTACATATTTCGCTTTATGGTAACATAGACTAACACGGGTATATGAACTATTCATATGCTTATATGTTGTACAGTTCAAGCGGAACTGTTCAAATGTTTCTGTGGTTGTAAAAATGCAGGTTTAGAACACTATACATGCAGCTACAGCATGTATATTTTTTTGCAATTCTAGGAAACATGATTTACCTATACACCAGCATTCACTGAGAACGCCAAAATCTGTGCGTTTTAAGCAGGCAAAGAAACTTTTTGCAAACATTGTATTAAACATTCGACACTTATGCCCACAATTTGTGAGAGAATTTAGGGAGAGAGGATTTTCATATTTAAGTTCTTGCATTTGTTTTTTATGTTTATTCTCTCGTTCTTCCCTTTATTCGATATTGTACTTCTCTGTTTTAAGAAATAAAACTGTTTTAGGAAGCTAGGGAGAAGGAGGAGCACAGGCAAGAGATTGAAGGCGAACAAAATGCTTTTAAAGGTAAGAGTTACAACTTCGGGTATATATGTCTCTGGTTGAATGACCTTCAAAAATATATAGTCAGGTATTTCAAATCTTTGAACACATGCACATAAAACACCAAAACGAACATCGTATTGATTTATATGACACTATGAAACAGATTTTGGTAAAGAAACAAGCCTTGCATGTAACAATAAGTAAGCATATTACACCTAATCCTTCCACGAACTCTCCATTCATCATCAATGTATTTCATGTATTGAAATGTATTGTAGGCAATCAGTAATATATTTTTTGTAATACATGAGATCGAGGGCGAACAAAATAAAACCGGAGGTAATATTTGAAATTTCGCACGAGGAAATCAGAACTTTCCGTCCCGTAGCAAAGTAATTTTGTCAGTTCCTGAAGAAAATATTTACTATTGGTGTACAGCGCTTTATAAAAAAACTCACGCAGGATATATTCAGAATACCCTAACTTTGCAATCATGCAGTAAAGTGTTATCTAGAACGACAGGCAAGAATTAAACTTAATCACCTTCCTAAGTGTTATATCTGCTCAAAATCTCTTTAACATTCTTCCCATACCCTTAACTTGTGCACTTTACATGGAAATTATTTGAAGAAATAATTGTATATTTGTAAGGAATGGAAGGTAATATTGAGAAAGCTTCCGGGAGAGAAATAGCGGCCCGACGACAGGAAATAACACCAGTAAAGGAAGATTATGGTAAAAAAGAAAACGTTGATAATGAAAGTGTCATGCAACGTCCTCAAGATGGGAATGCTCAAGTGATCACTAACGTGATACGCCCTGATGATGATGTAAGCCTGAACGGAGACAGAAAGGAGGGAAAAGGAACGCAGAAAAACATCTTGGATAACTTATCTGGAACAGTGCCCCTGAAAGTCGTGAGGTAAATATGACCTCATTTACATTTGTCTTGTACATTTAGTACTTATTATACATAATGTATAATAATGTATAATGTATAATTTGTATGGTTTGCAAAATAGCGGTCGCCACCATCAGAAAACCGAGACTCAATTCTTCTGATCTTTATAACATATCACTTTAAAATCCAGTAAAAAATCAGCTTGGGTTAACCGAATGGGGATAACCTTAGAAATTATTTAAGATATATTTCCTCTTCGTTCAATAATTTATATGATTTTTAATGTAAAGTTATTAAAAAGAAGAAAATATGACCTGTATCTTGATGATTGTGGCAATTTCCCTTGAGCACGCACACCAGCTAGAAACATTATGCATGTTGATTTAAAATAAATGACCGAAAAAAAAATTCATTTCAGAGCAGAAATCACACGAACTAATTTTGCGAATTATATGCAGCTGGTTTTTCACTGCAATTGATAGAATCAGTCAAGACAAAGAGGTGAACGAAAAGGAAGAGTTAGAAGAGAAGGAATTGGTTGAAAGGATGCCTTCTAATGCCCCGACAGTGATTATATCAAGAATTGTATGTTTATTTTGTATTTCTATATCATATATGCATTTTGCAAAACATTCTTACGAGACTTCCTCGGTAGCTGCGACTTTGTATATGACGAGAGTCGATGGAAGAAGCATGTAATAAAAGAGCTTGTGCTGGCAAAACACAGCAAAAATGTGGCATAACTCTGGTTATATATATATATATGTCTGTGTACATGTGATTTTGGGACAACCAACATTTACCTGTTTTTCATGGTAAGGGTGATGTTACAATTTTGAGCAATTACACTAAGAATGATATTGCACGGATAGACACCTGGGGCCGGTTGTTCAAAAGCAGGTTAAATTTAACCCTGGGTTAGTGCTAAACCTGGGTTAAAATCCTTAACCCTAGGTTAGCTAAACCTGGGTTAAAATTGTGTTGTTCAAAGCAGGGTTAGCGGTAGGGTTAGTTAACCCAGCCTTACCCAGGGTTAAAATATTTAACCTAAGATTAAATGTATTTTAAGGACTAAATTGGATATAAGAACGTTTTCGATTGGTCAATAAACGAGCGTCAAAACTTTACCCGATGAGGATATATTGTCAGTCAAAAGTTTATATGCCGTGAGGGCAAGGTCACAGGGACGTTGTTTTGAATAGCAATTTCCGTGCATGGAATTTTGGAAAGATTCGAAATGAAAGGCCATTTTGTATGATAAACAATGTCGATGTGAAATAAAATTAAGCAAATTATAAACAATCTATTTTAAAATTTCAGGCACTCTTTGATTATTCAAAATTCAGGAACAAACGTAGCCTTACCACTTGCTGCCAATCAAAAGAATCGAATTTTGGCATCCGAAACTAATATTTCGATTACGATGCTTCAATTTGTATGGTTGTATTCATTTATCGTGTATTGGATTGAAGCGAAGATAAATAAATCAATACATCAGCTGAAACCGAACGAAGTCAAACTTTAATAATTCTTTGCTGTCGAAATTATTCGTAAAACCTTTCAAAAGTGTTTAATTCATGACGAATTATACGTGTTTACGTCTTTCAGTTCCTTATTCATCCATTTTGAATCGAAGTTAACCCAGGATTAAAAAGTTAACCCACCTAGCTAGCAGGGTTAATTTTTTTATCAATTTTAACCCAGGGTTAACGCTAACCGAGCTTTGTGCAACGCAAATCAACCAAGGTTTAAAATTTAACCCTGGGTTAGGCATTTTTAACCCTGGGTTAGCGTTAACCGGCTTTTGAACAACCGGCCCCTGGGGTATTTTTGCATGCAAAATAACTCAAAATAAGTTCCAATGGACACATTCCTATTAAAGGTTCTCAAAGTAAAGTATTCTGTCCAAGCTACTTGCTGTTTTGCCCAGTTCCCGCGCCATCTTGAAATTTATCACATGTCACGTCTCCGCGATAGGTACGAGTCTGAAATCGAGACCTTCCATATCAGTTAAAAACGGCATTTAATAAATTACATTAGGTAAAATCAACAGTAATTCGCATAACATAATAAAGAACATTAAAACTGCGTAACGATACCTTTAGGACGCTGAGAAGGAAAAAAACCGGGATGAGATCGAGGGCGAACAAAATAAAACCGAAGGTAATATTTGAAATTTCGCATGAGGAAATCAGAACTGTTCGTCCTGTAGCAGAGTAATTTTGTCATTTCTTGAAGAAAATATTTACTATTGGTGTACAGCGCAGCGCTATATAAAAAAACTCACGCAGGATATATTCAAAATATCACAAATTTGCAATCATGCAGAAAAGTGTTATCTAGACCAACGGGCAAGAATTAATCTTAATCACCTTCCCAAGTGTTATATCTTCTCAAAATCTCTTTAAACATTCTTCCCATACCCTAAACTCGTGCACTTTACGTGGAAATTATTTGAAAAAATAATTGTATTTTTGTAAGGAATTGAAGGTAATATTGAGAAAGTTTCCGGGAGGGAAATAGGAGCCCGACGACAGGAAATAACACCAGTAAAGGAGGATAATGGCAAACAAGAAAACGTCGATATTGACAGTGCCATGCAACGTCCTCAAGATGGGAATGCTGAAGTGATCACTAACGTGATACGCCCTGATGATGATATAAGCCTGAACGGAGACAGAAGAAGACGTGTGGGCAATCGATTGTTTTATAATAGGTTGGAAAGAGGAAGACGTTCTAGAGCAATATTAATTGCGCTAAAGGTAAACGACTTACTGTACATATTTCGCTTTATGGTAACATAGACTAACACGGGTATATGAACTATTCATATGCTTATATGTTGTACAGTTCAAGCGGAACTGTTCAAATGTTTCTGTGGTTGTAAAAATGCAGGTTTAGAACACTATACATGCAGCTACAGCATGTATATTTTTTTGCAATTCTAGGAAACATGATTTACCTATACACCAGCATTCACTGAGAACGCCAAAATCTGTGCGTTTTAAGCAGGCAAAGAAACTTTTTGCAAACATTGTATTAAACATTCGACACTTATGCCCACAATTTGTGAGAGAATTTAGGGAGAGAGGATTTTCATATTTAAGTTCTTGCATTTGTTTTTTATGTTTATTCTCTCGTTCTTCCCTTTATTCGATATTGTACTTCTCTGTTTTAAGAAATAAAACTGTTTTAGGAAGCTAGGGAGAAGGAGGAGCACAGGCAAGAGATTGAAGGCGAACAAAATGCTTTTAAAGGTAAGAGTTACAACTTCGGGTATATATGTCTCTGGTTGAATGACCTTCAAAAATATATAGTCAGGTATTTCAAATCTTTGAACACATGCACATAAAACAACAAAAGGAACATCGTATTGATTTTACATTTCGGTAAAGAAACAAGCCTGCATGTAACAATAAGTAAGCATATTACACGCAATCCTTCCACGAACTCTCCATTCATCATCAATGTATTTCATGTATTAAAATGTATTGTTAGGCAATCAGTAATATATTTTTTGCAATACATGAGATCGAAGGCGAACAAAATAAAACCGAAGGTGATATTTGAAATTTTGCATGAGGAAATCAGAACTGTCCGTCCTGTAGCAGAGTAATTTTGTCAGTTCCTGAAGAAAATACTTACTATTGGTGTACAGGGCTATATAAAAAAACTCACGCAGGATATATTCAGAATACCCCAAATTTGCAATCATGCAGTAAAGTGTTATCTAGACCGACAGGCAAGAATTAAACTTAATCACCTTCCCAAGTGTTATATCTGCTCAAAATCTCTTTAAACATTCTTTCCATACCCTTAATTCGTGCACTTTACGTGGAAACTATTTGAAGAAATAATTGTATATTTGTAAGGAATGGAAGGTAATATTGAGAAAGCTTCCGGGAGAGAAATAGAAGGAGCCCGACGACAGGAAATAACACCAGTAAAGGAAGATAATGGTAAACAAGAAAACGTTGATGATGAAAGTGTCATGCAACGTCCTCAAGATGGGAATGCTGAAGTGATCACTAACGTGATACGCCCTGATGATGATGTAAGCCTGAACGGAGACAGAAAGGAGGGAAAAGGAACGCAGAAAAGGAAACCCATGCCAAAACCAAGAAGTGTGGGCGATGAATTTTTTTGGTTAGAGAGAAGAAGATGTTCTAGAGCAATTAAGCTAAACTTTAAGGTAAACGACTTACTGTACATATTTCGCTTTATGGTAATTAACATACACTAACACGGGTATATGAACTATTTATATATGCTTATATTGTGTACAGTTCAAAGGAAACATGATTTACCTATACACCAGCATTCACTGAGAACGCCAAAATCTGTGCGTTTTAAGCAGGCAAAGAAGCTTTTTGCAAACATTCTATTAAACATTCGATACTTATGCCCACAATTTGTGAGAGAAAGTAGGGAGAGAGGATTTTCATACTTAAGTTCTTGCATTTGTCTTTTATGTTTATTCTCTCGTTCTTCCCTTTATTCGATATTGCACTTCACTGTTTTAAGAAATAAAACTGTTTTAGGAAGCTAGGGAGAAGGAGGAGCACAGGCAAGAGATTGAAGGCGAACAAAATGCTTTTAAAGGTAAGAGTTACAACTTCGGGTATATATGTCTCTGGTTGAATGACCATCAAAAATATATAGTCAGGTATTTCAAATCTTTGAACACATGCACATAAAACAACAAAACGAACATCGTATTGATTTATATGACACTATGTAACAGGTTTCGGTAAAGAAACAAGCCTTGCATGTAACAATAAGTAAGCATATTACACGCAATCCTTCCACGAACTCTCCATTCATCATCAATGTATTTCATGTATTGAAATGTATTGTTACGCAATCAGTAATATATTTTTGTAATACATGAGATCGAGGGCGAACAAAATAAAACCGAAGGTAATATTTGAAATTTCGCATGAGGAAATCAGAACTGTCCGTCCCGTAGCAGAGTAATTTTGTCAGTTCCTGAAGAAAATACTTACTATTGGTGTACAGCGCTATATAAAAAAACTCACGCAGGATATATTCAGAATACCCCAAATTTGCAATCATGCAGTAAAGTGTTATCTAGAACGACAGGCAAGAATTAAACTTAATCACCTTCCCAAGTGTTATATCTGCTCAAAATCTCTTTAAACATTCTTTCCATACCCTTAATTCGTGCACTTTACGTGGAAATTATTTGAAGAAATAATTGTATATTTGCAAGGAATGGAAGGTAATATTGAGAAAGCTTCCGGGAGAGAAATAGAAGGAGCCCAACGACAGGAAATAACACCAGTAAAGGAAGATAATGGTAAACAAGAAAACGTTGATAGTGAAAGTGTCATGCAACGTCCTCAAGATGGGAATGCTGAAGTGATCACTAACGTGATACGCCCTGATGATGATGTAAGCCTGCACGAAGACAGAAAGGAGGGAAAAGGAACGCAGAAAAGGAAACCCATGCCAAAACCAAGAAGTGTGGGCGATGGATTGTTTTGGTTAGAGAGAAGAAGACGTTCTAGAGCAATTGGGCTAAAGGTAAACGACTTACTGTACATATTTCGCTTTATGGTAACATAGACTAACACGGGTATATGAACTATTCATATGCTTATATGTTGTACAGTTCAAGCGGAACTGTTCAAATGTTTCTGTGGTTGTAAAAATGCAGGTTTAGAACACTATACATGCAGCTACCGCATGTATATTTTTTGCAATTCTAGGAAACATGATTTACCTATACACCAGCATTCACTGAGAACGCCAAAATCTGTGCGTTTTAAGCAGGCAAAGAAACTTTTTGCAAACATTGTATGAAACACTCGACACTTATGCCCACAATTTGTGAGAGAATTTAGGGAGAGAGGATTTTCATATTTAAGTTCTTGCATTTGTTTTTTATGTTTATTCTCTCGTTCTTCCCTTTATTCGATATTGTACTTCTCTGTTTTAAGAAATAAAACTGTTTTAGGAAGCTAGGGAGAAGGAGGAGCACAGGCAAGAGATTGAAGGCGAACAAAATGCTTTTAAAGGTAAGAGTTACAACTTCGGGTATATATGTCTCTGGTTGAATGACCATCAAAAATATATAGTCAGGTATTTCAAATCTTTGAACACATGCACATATAACAACAAAACGAACATCGTATTGATTTATATGACACTATGAAACAGATTTTGGTAAAGAAACAAGCCTTGCATGTAACAATAAGTAAGCATATTACACCTAATCCTTCCACGAACTCTCCATTCATCATCAATGTATTTCATGTATTGAAATGTATTGTTAGGCAATCAGTAATATATTTTTTGTAATACATGAGATCGAGGGCGAACAAAATAAAACCGAAGGTAATATTTGAAATTTCGCACGAGGAAATCAGAACTTTCCGTCCCGTAGCAAAGTAATTTTGTCAGTTTCTGAAGAAAATATTTACTATTGGTGTACAGCGCTTTATAAAAAAACTAACGCAGGATATATTCAAAATACCACAAATTTGCAATCATGCAGTAAAGTGTTATCTAGATCGACAAGCAAGAATTAAACTTAATCACCTTCCCAAGTGTTATATCTGCTCAAAATCTTTAAACATTCTTCCCATACCCTTAACTCATGCACTTTACGTGAAAATTATTTAAAGAAATAATTGTATTTTTGTAAGGAATGGAAGGTAATATTGAGAAAGCTTCCGGGAGAGAAATAGGGGCCCGACGACAGGAAATAACACCAGTAAAGGAAGATAATGGTAAACAAGAAAACGTCGATAATGACAGTGTCATGCAACGTCCTCAAGATGGGAATGCTCAAGTGATCACTAACGTGATACGCCCTGATGATGATGCAAGCCTGAACGGAGACAGAAAGGAGGGAAAAGGAACGCAGAAAAGCATCTTGGATAACTTATCTGGAACAGTGACGCTGGAAGTTTCGAGGTAAATATGACCCCATTTACATTTGCCTTGTACATTTAGTAATTATTATACATAATGTATAATAATGTATAATGTATAATTTGTATGGTTTGCAAAATAGCGGTCGCCACCATCAGAAAACCGAGACTCAATTCTTCTGATCTTTATAACATATCACTTTAAAATCCGGTAAAAAAACAGCTTGGGTTAACCGAATGGGGATAACCTTAGAAATTATTTAAGATATATTTCCTCTTCCTTCAATAATTTATATGATTTTTAATGTAAAGTTATTAAAAAGAAGAAAATATGACCTGTATCTTGATGATTGTGGCAATTTCCCTTGAGCACGCACACCAGCCAACATTATGCATGTTGATTTAAAATAATTGACCGAAAAAAAATTCATTTCAGAGCAGAAATCACACGAACTAATTTTGCGAATTATATGCAGCTAGTTTTTTACTGCAATTAATAGAATCAGTCAAGACAAAGAGGTGAACGAAAAGGAAGAGTTAGAAGAGAAGGAATTGGTTGAAAGGATGCCTTCTAATACCCCGACAATGATTATATCAAGAATTGTATGTTTATTATTGTATTTATACATCATATATGCATTTTGCAAAACATTCTTACAAGACTTCCTCAGTAGCTGCGACTTCGTATATATACATCATATATGATGAGAGTCGAGGGAAGAAGCATCTAATAAAAGAGCTTGAGCTGGCAAAACACAGCAAAAATGTGGCATAACTCTGATTATATATATATGTCTGTGTACATGTGATTTTGGGACAACCAACATTTACCTGTTTTTCATGGTAAGGGTGATGTTACAATTTTGAGCAATTACACTAAGAATGATATTGCACGGATAGACACCTGGGGTATTTTTGCATGCAAAATAACTCAAAATAAGTTCCAATGGACACATTCCTATTAAAGGTTCTCAAAGTAAAGTATTCTGTCCAGGCTACTTGCTGTTTTACCCAGTTCCCGCGCCATCTTGAATTTATCACAGGTCAAGTCTCCGCGATAGGTACGAGTCGGAAATCGAGACCTTCCATATCAGTTAAAAACGGCATCTACTAACTTACATTAGGTAAAATCAACAGTAATTCGCATAACATAATAAAGAACATTAAAACTGCGTAACGATACCTTTAGGACGCTGAGAAGGAAAAAAACCGGGATGAGATCGAGGGCGAACAAAATAAATCCGAAGGTAATATTTAAAATTTCGCATGAAGAAATCAGAACTGTCCGTCCCGTAACAGAGTAATTTTGTCAGTTCTTGAAGAAAATATTTACTATTGGTGTAGAGCGCTTTATAAAAAAACTCACGCAGGATGTATTCAAAATACCACAAATTTGCAATCATGCAGTAAAGTGTTATCGAGACCGATAGGCAACTTAATAGGATAACTTAATCACCTTCCCAAGTGTTATATCTGCTCAATATCGTGCACTTTACGTGGAAATTATTTGAGGAAATAATTGTATTTTTGTAAGGAATTGAAGGTAATATTGAGAAAGTTTCCAAGAGAGAAATAGAAGGAGCCCGACGACAGGAAATAACACCAGTAAAGGAGGATAATGGTAAACAAGAAAACGTCGATATTGACAGTGCCATGCAACGTCCTCAGGATGGGAATGCTGAAGTGATCACTAACGTGATACGCCCTGATGATGATGTAAGCCTGAACGGAGACAGAAAGGAGGGAAAAGGAACGCAGAAAAGCAAACCCACGCCAAAACCAAAACGTGTGGGCATGAGATGGTTTCCTAGGTTAAATAGAAAAAGACGTTCTAGAGCAATTGTGCTAACGGTAAACGACTTATACATATTTCGCTTTATGGTAACATGCATACACTAACACGGGTATATGAACTATTCATATATGCTTATATGTTGTACAGTTCAAGCGGAATTGTTCAAATGTTTCTGTGGTTGTAAACAGGTTTAGAACACTATACATGCAGCTATAGCTTTTTTGTAATTCTAGGAAACATGATTTACCTACACACCAGCATTCACTGAGAATGCCAAAATCTGTGCGTTTTAAGCAGGCAAAGAAGCTTTTTGCAAACATTCTATTAAACATTCGATACTTATGCCCACAATTTGTGAGAGAATTTAGGGAGAGAGGATTTTCATTTTTAAGTTCTTGCATTTGTTTTTATGTTTATTTTCTCGTCCTTCCCTTTATTCGACATTGTACTTCTCTGCTTTAAGAAATAAAACTGTTTTAGGAAGCTAGGGAGAAGGAGGAGCACAGGCAAGAGATTGAAGGAGAACAAAATGCTTTTAAAGGTAAGAGTTACAACTTCGGGCATATAGGTCTCAGGTTGAATGACCGTCAAAAATATATAGTCAGTTATTTCAAATCTTAGAACACATGCACATAAAACAACAAAACGAACATCGTATTGATTTATATGACACTATGTAACAGGTTTCGGTAAAGAAACAAGCCTTGCATGTAACAATAAGTAAGCATACTACACGTAATCCTTCCACGAACTCTCCATTCATCATCAACGTATTTTATGTATTGAAATGTATTGTAGGCAATCAGTAATATATTTTTTGTCTTAAAAGGAAAAGGAAAAGAAAGTAAAGTTATGCAAAAATACACGGAAAAAATAGTCCAACATCTTGGTCAGGAAGAAAATAGTAATGTGGACAAAGTGTTGGGCACTGACTTGGCGAACAATACGGATTGCTGTCAAATTGAGAATAATATCGAGGTGAGTCAGGGGACCATCGAAATAGACCGTTCTGAAGCTGAGAATGCTGGTCTAACTGGTCAAATACAGACAATACAAAATAACGGTCTGGATCTCAGAGTACAACTCTTAGAAAAGGAAAATAAACATTTAGAAAAAGAGAACAGCGACCTAATGTATATTGGCGCACTTCTTCAAGAGGAAAGCCGTCGATTCCCGTTAGCAGGATTCCGTGGATTCTCGGAGTTCCACGACGAAAGACAACTTCGCCGAGAAATACAAAGGAAGGACGTCGAAATTCAACAACTACTTCAAGAGAAAAGGCAGGGAACCAATGAAATTGACCAACTTCGACGAGAAAAAAGTGAGATTGAGACTCAAATTCAGAAATTTAGTAAAGAGAATATGGAAATGGCGACCCAGATTCAACAATCAAGTGAAGAAAAAGGTGCAATGGTGATCCAGATTCAACAATATGAGCATGAGAAAAATGAGATGGCGATCCAGATTCAACAACTTAAACAAGAGAAAAGTGAAATGGTGACACGGATTCAACAATTAATTGAAGACGAGAGGGAGAAGGCCAACGAGATCGAGCAACTGAAAACGGAAAGCGTTACTAAGAATAACAATATTCTACAATGCGAGGAAGAAAAAACTAGAATGAGCAATGAGATTCGGCACCTCAACGAAGAAAAAGATGAGATACGAAATGGTTCGCTAGAACTTCAACAGGAAAACCACAACATGAAAATTGAAATTCAACAGCTTCAAGAAGAGACATTGTCTAGCTTTATCACAGAAAGTGGAACAGTGATAGTTTCTAATGGGTCTGAGCTAGGAAGAGGAGGTTATGCAGCTGTGTACAAAGGAGACTTTCACGGAACGGAGGTGGCAGTAAAGGAATATTATCACGTTATTATTTCCCCGCATAATATGAAAATGTTGGAACGAGAAATAAATATCGCTGCACGATGTCGACATCCCAATTTGTTACAGTTTCTATGTGCGACAAAAAATGATCAAAATCATTTGTTAATCGTGACAGAACTGATGGATATGACTCTGCGTTCTTTCGTCGAGGAACGAAAAGAAAAGTCGCGACTAAAAAATCACGAAGTTAAATTCATTTCCTTAGATGTCGCATGTGGCTTAAACTACCTTCATTCAATGAAGCCAAGTCCAATAATTCATCGTGACATCAGCAGTGCCAACGTATTGCTGAGCATCGAGCATGGCGAAGTGAGAAGAGCCAAGATATCAGATTATGGTTCAGCAAATTTCATGGAAGTTTGTACTACACCGAACCCAGGATCAGCCGTTTACGCCGCACCAGAAGCAACGCATGCTCAACATAGCCCAAAGGTAACCAAATTACGACCCTGTACGCTGTACATTAGATTAGTTCAGTCAACATAAATTTAGGAACCTTGTTCGACAAGACATTAGTTTATTTGTTTATTCATACAATTTTGTTTATATCATGTCAGATTGACGTATTCTCTTATGGCGTGCTGGTTTGTGAGATGTTCATTTCTGAGTTTCCCGATAAAAAAAGAATTAGTCATCAAGTGAAGAGAATTGACAATGATAGGATCAAAAAATTGGTGAAACATTGTACAGCAGAGGATCCACAGGAAAGGCCACCGATGTCGCAAATAATTAGTTTATGGCAACAGATAAAATGATGTGACCAATAATCTTGATGAAACTTAATTTACCTACCACAGGTTGTATAAATATGTTGAGCGATAATATCTAGTTTGCAAGACTCTCAAATCTCAAAAAAAGAAATCACACGAGCTAGTGAACAACAATAACAAACGTTAGAATAACATACAATTTTGACCCGCTAAGAAAATTTCGACCTATCATTCATTGTTTTCACAGTCAATGAACACTGAAATATTAGCATAGCGGGACATATTGTCAGGCTGGCTACGCTACTGCTAAATTAAGAAGAGTTTAGGCACCAAACCAAAGATATTCGAGATTTGAGAACATTGCAAGTTATCTTTTATGGTAGTCTAGTACTTTGTAGCTCCGCCAACAGGGCAGTGCAGAGTTTATGTTGCTCTCACGAATAGCTATCGCGGGCGCACGGTAAGAAATATAGAATCAGGGTGAGGCCAGCGGTTAAAAACCATAAACGAAAGTTTCGCTTCTCACCTGTAAGTTTGAGGGCAGAAAATCATACGGCTGTTTTGGACATAGTCGAGGAGCATAATTAATAATTAAACTATTAATTTGAATATCTCAATAGGATAATTCTTTATAACAAACACTTTGACCCGTTCTCAAGTGCGAAGAGTTTATCGAGGTATCATATTCATACGCTGACGGAACAGACACTAATGATACCACAGTTACCACTTTAAAGAAATGTTTTGGTTATAGGCTGATGATGAGACCGCGAAAGCTTTCTTTTTACTTTTGTATTTGACCTTATGTATCTGCATGTCCGAAATATTGTGTTAGTATTGTGTCTTTGGTCGAACTGGAGATTTCTACAGTTATTTTCGAGAGAATCGGAGAGATTACTCGCTTATGAAAATCGAAGTTGGAGTTCCAGAAGGGCTTATGACCCTCTCTCCCGATATAGCATGCACAGATTTTTAAGTATCCTTTGATAGATGGTGCAATAAAATGAATAAATACTATTTACGGTTCAGTATTGCTGTTTCATGCATAGCGGCGAATACCTCTCTTGACAGAAAAGATTAACATTTGGGTTATAGGTTTATGACATAATGGAACGTTTTGTACATTTGATCTTTACCGTTAATTAACGCGGCAGTCCAAGTCTGGGAAATTCGATCGCATTTCCAAGTATTTGTCACATATATTGTGTTCGTAGTGTAATCATGGTTGACCTGGACGTGATTTATTTCAACAGCGATTTCTATTAAATTTATGGTAAAGCCGATTCGTATATTCTCAGCGAGTCAGGTACGTGCACATTCATCGTGATTAATATACTGCTGTTGTTATTTTATCTCTATCAGACAAGGAATGTCGGTACTGAGGTATTGCTACATGTATCGACATTAGCCTTGTTACCAAATTTCAACTCTTCCCCGGAATACTAGACTTTTTCAGAATTAAAATAGCGTTATATTGCAGCTAAATATGGACAAAAAACCCCACTAAAAATACAGATAAAATTTATACGGATAAAATGAATCATTTCGGATCTGAAGTTTCGTTTGCATATAGTTATAGTCTGATAGATTTGCAACTTCAATTTCGTATATCTTTCCTACTCGCCAAAGCAGCGCAATTCGCGTCGAGTAGCAATGTCTGCGATGATGTAGTACAATCACGCACGACATATATTTATTCCTGCCTCACATATACTGTATAGATCAAGATCAATGATTAAACTAGCAGTATACTGCTTCTCTCATTCAAAATTCTTGAAATCGAAAGTAACTGCCATATCAGTTCAATACCAGGAATTGTAATCGCTGAGGTCTATATATATCTGGAGTATTATGCAGCGTAAAGTGAAACCAAATCAAGTGGGCGTCATTTGCAAAGTGAAAGCTGCTATATTTATATATACAAATGCAGTTATCCTCAAAATAATACGTTTTTCTAATTTTTGGAAGAATGTTTTTGGGAACACATTAATCATCGTGTTATTATATTTACTTTATTCGATAAGCATTGTTAATAAATGGATTTAAATAAGCTTTACGTTTGTATATTTCGGGAAAAAAGGAAACTAATTGCGTTTTAAATACAGTTAAGCCCCGTACAGACGGGCAAGTTTTCTTTGCCAAGTTTTATTTGCTCGTGTGTACGCGAAAAAAATGACAAGTTTTCCTTGATAGGGAGCCTTGTTCAAAAGCTAGTCATACCAGCTTTTCAAGTAGGAAACTGCGCAACAATATCTTCGAGGCAATTGCGCGGTTTTTGAAAGTTTTATCATTTCTGTTTGTTTTGAGATTCCATCGTATACTCATTTTATCATATTGTCGTAAATATACTGAGCATATATATTATCGTAAAACTTGTCAAGGAAAACTTATCAAGGAAAACTTGGCAAGGAAAACTTACCCGTCTGTACGGGGCTTTAGTATTAAAAACGGCAATTAATCTTTCGTTTAAATAGATACATGAAACTGTCTGGAAATGGCCTCGTCAAGAAGCAATGGTTCTAATGAACATGGTCGCGGAGTATCAATATGGCGTCGAATTTCCAGATTGTTTTCGCCACTGACGTCAGTTGCTTTGAATCAAAGAGCTCATACCACTTCAAAGGTATCTTAATCTAAGATGGTATATTCGTTTTTAGCCAATTTATACCCAGTTCTTTTAAACGTTTGGCGAACTGACGTTTTGTTTTGTACCATTTGATACTCTGTGCATTTCATCCATTTGCTCGCAACGCGATGCTAGGATATGTCGAAAAGAGTTCGCTATATAAGATGCTGTATATTTGCATGGTTCTTGAAACGTGAGAAATAACAATAGGTCTGCATCATTCATCTAGAAAACTGAGGAAGAAGACAGACAAAAGCTGAAGAGCGAACAAGAAACAATTAAAGGTAAAAATGATAATTTTTGCTACTGTGAAAAAATCATCGGTAATCAGATGTTGAAAATATTAACAAAACATGAAGACATTGTCTTACACAATCAGCGGACTTGCATCGAGCCGGAAAACTATGTTCATGATGGAGGGGACCACCAAAATTTGTTTTCGTTCCGATTTCCAAATTATGTTGAAACATGTACCAAATGTTGCAATACCAGAATATAAAATATGTACCTTAGGGCTATCAATTTATGTTTCGGTCAATAATACGTTATTTGCATTCTTCTCTTCCGCTTTATGATATAGAAGAAGATCTCATCGACGTTGATATAACAGATGAAGGGCAGAGTGAGGAGCTTCATCTGGATTTAGAAATATTTGAAGATGCAAATGACGAGATGAATGAGCCAGAACAGGAATGGAAACCAGCTGAACCGGAGATACAGGAGGTGAAGGATGAGACTAGTGACCATCGTGTCCGGGAGAATATTGATGTTACAACGAGCATGCAGTATTTGAAAGATCAAGGAATGCAAATAAGAAATAAAACTCGCGAACTTCGACAGGAGAATGCCAAGAAGGATAACAGAATTTTTCAGCTTGAAGAAGAAAGTAGGACCAAAGATGTGAAGATTCAGCAACTTCAAAACGAGCAAGTTAACATGAAGAACGAAATACTGCAGATTAAACAAGGCAATTGCGACGAAAAACCAAAGAAATTCACGAACTGCAGGAAGGAAAGACCAATCAATCTAACGTTATTAAACAACTTCGACAACAAATTGCACAACTTCAACAAACAATCAACGGAAACGAAAATAAGATTAGGCAAATCCAAAACGAAAACACTATGAAAAATAACGAGCTTCTGCAACTTCGTGAAGAAAACAGTAACAAGAATAATACAAACGAGCAACTTCGAAAAGAAAACAACCACAAAAATGACGACATTGAGAGACTTTTTGAAGAAAACAACGACAAAAATAACGAAATTGACAATTTGCGACAACAAAACAAAGATAAAGATGAAGAAATAGGGCAACTTCACGAGGAGAAGAACTTTGCAAAAAACAAAAATAAACATCTTTGTCAAGAAAATAGTATGAAGACTAATGTAATTGGAGGACTTGAACAGAAAATTAACATAAAAAATAACGAACTTGAGCGGCTTCATGAAGAACTTAACAACAGAAATACCGAATTAGAGTATCTTCGCCAAGAGAACAACACCAAAAATAATGAAATTGAACAACTTCGCGAGGAGAAGAAATTTGAGATAGAAGAAATTAAACAACTTCGAGAAGAAAACAAGAACAAAAATGACGAAATGGAACAACTTCGTCAAGAAAACAACAACAAAAATGACGTAATTATGCAACTTCGTCAAGGAATTAACATTAATAACAATCAAATTAAAAAACATCAACAGAAAATCAAGATCAAAAATGACGAAAATGAACAACTTCGACAAGAAAACAACAACAAAAACGACGAAATTGAGCGTCTTCGTGAAGAAAACAACAACAAAAATGACGAAAATGAGCAACTTCGACAAGAAAACAACAACAAAAATGACGAAATTGAGCAACTTCGTCAAGAAATTACCGACATGAATAGCGAAATTCAGCAACTACAGCAGGAACATCAACAACCTCAGGAAAATACTACGTCCACTTTCATGACAGAATATGGAACGGTAAAAATTTCAAATGACGATTTGCTTGGAAAAGGTGCTTGGGGAGCAGTTTACAAGGGAGACTTCTATGGTACGACAGTAGCGGTGAAAAAATTTCACGAAATAATCATATCTGATTATAACAAGCATATTCTTCAACGTGAAATAGATATTGCTTCGCAGTGCCGCCATCCGAATTTACTACAGTTTATATGCGCGACAAAAAACGTTCAAGATCAACTTTTAATCGTAACAGAACTGATGGACACCGCTCTACGTACGTTACTTGAGCAACGAGTCAGAAAAAAGTCTAGTTTTGAGTACCAGGAGATCAAAATTGTTTCCAAAGACGTTGCCCTTGGACTCAATTACCTTCACTCGCAAAAGCCAAGCCCAATCATCCATCGTGATGTGAGCAGTGCTAACGTGTTGCTAACGGTTGAAAACGGTGCAGTAAGACGAGCAAAAATGTCCGATTTTGGGTCAGCCAATTTCATGCAAGTTTGCAACACACCGAATCCAGGAGCGGCCCTTTACTCCGCACCAGAAGCCAGGCGAGCACACCATGACCCCAAGGTAACATAAGTTCTGTTTATATGATAGCTGGGGCGGGAAGTTTACCCGGACTGTACGATGCTCGGAATTCCAGGAGCATGTATATGTATTTCTATAATGTGTATTTCTATGTATTTCTACTTCGCATTCCCAGTTTCGACAAGTGGGATCCCAATTTAAACGGGATGTTTTCTGCCAAAGTGAATGCTCCATCCTGCCTAATGCCACATATTATGCTGACATGCGTAACGTTTATATATAAAGGTTGCTTTGATAACCAAGGGACCGCGGAGCGTTTTTCGTATTGCTGGGGCTCGGCACCGCGCGCCTGCTAGGAGAGTCCGGGAAAATTTTGAAATATACATAGGCCTCTGAAATCGCCGCAAAAGCCTCTCAAAGGATTATTGGAAAATAATACATACTATGTAAAGTTTCCAGCATGTTTGGCGCTCATATACAAACATTAAACAATATAACCATGCTTTAGTTATGATGTGAAATATTTTGACATGGATAACTACGCTGTTTTATTGGTCAAATGCTTGTCCTATGTAAAGTTTCCAGCATGTTTGGTACTCATATTCAAACATTAAACAATATAACCAAGCTTTGGTTATGATGTCAAATATTTTCATATGGATAACCACACTAAATGCTTGTCCTATGTAAAGTTTCCAGCATGTTTGGCGCTCATATACAAACATTAAACAATATAACCATGCTTTGGTTATGATGTCAAATATTTTGACATGGATAACCATGCTGTTTTAATGGTCAAATGTTTGTCCTATGTAAAGTTTCCAGCATGTTTGGCGCTCATATACAAACATTAAATAGTATAACCATGCTTTGGTTATGATGTCAAATATTTTGACATGGATAACCACGCTGTTTTATTGGTCAAATTCTTGTCCTATGTAGAGTTTCCAGCATGTTTGGTGCTCATATACAAACATTAAACAATATAACCATGCCTTGGTTATGATGTCAAATATTTTGATATATGGATAACCACGCTGTTTTAATGGTCAAATGCTTGTCCTATGTAAAGTTTCCAGCATGTTTGGCGCTCATATACAAACATTAAATAGTATAACCATGCTTTGGTTATGATGTCAAATATTTTGACATGGATAACCACGCGGTTTTATTGGTCAAATTCTTGTCCTATGTAAAGTTTCCAGCATATTTGGTGCTAATATACAACTAGTAAACAATATAACCATGCTTAGGTTATGATGTCAAATATTTTGACACACGCTGTTTTAATGGTCAAATGCTTGTCCAACGTAGAGCTGGTTTCCAGCATGTTTGGCGCTTGTATTGCTTGTAAATTTTAGCTTGTAAATTTGAGCTAACTAAAAAATATTCAATTTAAAGACTAATTACGGAAAAATTATTGGTGGGGCTAAAGCCCAGCGAGCCACCCTGCTCCGTGGTTCCTGTAACCGTCTCGCTTGTTTGAACACGAAGCGACAAACATGACATTCTGGCTACAAAATAGATTAAAAATAGCTAAACAGCCCTTAAACAAAAAAATAATTACAATTCCCCGAGGATGATTATGTTTAACGCACCCTTGGCCTTGGGATTAATTATAGTCCTGTAACTTTTATACTGAATAACCGACTTCAAAAGAGTTTTCAGTTTTGATACACTGTGTATCAGTATAATTTATCTTATTTCTTTAAACAGATCGACGTTTTTAGCTACGGTATACTAGTGTGTGAGATGTGCATTTGTGAGCTGCCAAATCAAGCGAAGAGAAAAGAACAATTTGGAAGAATTTCAAATGCTAATATCAAAGCTTTAGTTGAAGCTTGTACGAGGAGAGATTCTAAAACAAGGCCGGCAATGGAGGATGCAATTGACTTTTGGCGGTGTATGTAGTGCAAAAATTGTACTGAGATATGTTATACGAAGTTAATAAATTTGGGTTATAAAGCGTTTAGTGTTCTTTATATTCTTATAAAGACTTACCTTACAATGTGCACAGCCACGAGGGTTAACATTAATTTTGTCGAAAGTCGTTCAAACAAAACACACTTGACATAATTTAATCTTTACTATAGGCTATAGCCTATAGCATGTTGAAATCCTCTTTAAACTGGCTCCAAGATCGTACATTGCTTTCTTTTACCAAGTTATTAAATAATTTATCGTCTAAAGTAGAAGCCATTTGCAAATTGTAAACACTAAATTTCCCGCGTGACATACCGGAAGTACATGCATCGTATCCCGGATGTAATGATGCAATTCAACCGTAAAATATCACAAGGTAGCTGGAGCATAATTTTGCAAACCCCAGAACCAACGTAACGCCACGATCTTAATATCTTGGTGAAAAATTTTTGAGTACTAGATTTATTTGCTGATTGCAATCTGTGTTGAAATTAACTTCGTTTCGAGTTAATTTCTGGGCAGCTATTTTCCTGTTAAAATAAATAAAAAAATTCTACTCGAATACAAGTTCGATGACAAAATTAAATATATATATTTTACAACTGCCCAATTGAAGTATATCAAAAAAACGCGAAGTCCGAGAAAGCCACACTCATACGACAAGGGGGAATTTCGTTTAAAACCAATCAACAAGTTTGTTTACACTTTCAGACATCTCAATAACCTAATCAGAATGCATAAATTTAGACAACTTCCAGTGAAAAGGTACATTATTTGCTATTTTACATGAAGTATTAAAAATGTAGGCATTCTGATTGGCTTTGCCTGAAAAATGTAAACAAATATAAGTCGATTAGTTTAAAACGAAATTGTTCACTCCTTGTTCACTCACATACACTTTTTTAGAACATTTCCACAAAATGGAAAAACGTGGGAGATAACAAAAGGCAACGTGAATAAAGCAATTGATTCCAGATTCAAAGAATTGCTTATTCAGTGGGAAAATGACCATCAAGTGTACTTTGAAATTCACAAGCAGCTTCTTTACGAATTTCGTACAAGGTTTGGCACACTGTGTGTATATCTAAAACGTGATGGTGCAGGAATATTTTCTTCCCACGTTCTAAATAGTTCTAGCTGAAGATATATTCTTTGCTATAGAACTCCTTATGAATCACTTACCAGTTATCATACCATTTAACAACGTGTCTCGCAGTGAAACTGTATATAAGTACGTTGTTTTACAACTGGGGCTGGTATAACTAAGAAATACACGACTCTGATTGCCTAATTCTGTACTTAACTTAAGTTATGCAACTGGCCCTTGCACGAATTGAATGACTGTCATCCATAATTATATCCTTTATCGTAATAATTCATTTAATTAAAGCCTGGTTCACATATGCCTGGGGTAAGCCTGTGACGCACCGCAGGAAAATTGTGCATCCATAATAATTCTCCACCGCCGGTAGCTCGGCGTCACCCCCAACAACAAGCCATTCGATCCTGTCATGTGCTAAATTTAGATAAGGCACAAGTGTATTGTGGGAAAGACTTCTACAGGCACACCGGCGGTGTGTCGGAAGCGTGTTCACATAAATAAAAATAATAAAAATGTGCTACGTACACCGCCGCTTTGCCGCCGACCTGCCTGGAAAGTTGAACTCGAGTCAACTCTCCCGGCATACCGCCGGCAACTCTTGTGCCTGCCTGAGACACCGGCGATAAACCGGCGCTGAGTGTTCTCATATGCCTTAAGAGCACCGCAGACATACTTCGCAGGCATGCCACAGTCATATGTGAACCAGGCTTAAGGTTGAATCTTTTGGAAGAGGAGCTTCAAGGTGTTGACAAAGCGATGCATAGTATGGAAAGACAAGCTGATTATGCAAAGAATAGAAGAAAATTTTCGACAAAAACCAAAGTTATCTTCGGTGCAACGAGCCCTCTTTGGATTCCGTTTGGTGTGGCGGGTTTGGTGATTGGTATGCCTGTTTTAGGAGCAATGGCAGTAAAACGTAAAGTTGATGATAACAAGAAGTTGGATAATTACAAAAAAAATCCCCGTGACTACCTGGAAAAAAGATCACGAAAATACCTTGAGCGACTCTCAAAGGAACACGTGTTAGCATATGCCCAACGACAGATGGAGAACACCAAAAATGTGTTGTCAAAATATGGAGATCAAATTCCCATCCTGATAGAGGCAGGTCGAAAACTGGTGAAGCATTTATCTAATGAGACTCGAACACAGGATGAAGTATTGAGACTTTATGCCCCAATTGAAAAGAAAATTGTTGAGATGATAAACAAGATCACACCCTTGGGAATTGAGCTATGTCCTGAAACAGTGAATACAAATGATCTTGAATGGAAGGAAGAGAAGGAATCATGTTTCGGAGAAGGAGAGTTTTCCAAAGTTTACAAAGGGAAGTTGAAGAATGCTGGCGGAGCAAAATTACAGAATTCAGAAATAAACGTGGCAGTTAAAGTGTTCAAGCAACCATTTGATGATCTAAATACTAGATTCTTTCTGGATGAAGAAGTGAAAATCAGGTATATATGTATATTTGTGTATTAAATATTTTCAAGTGTCAGTGTGTAAATCTTCAATTACATTGAACAATAACAGAACTTGAATTATGTAAATTGTTCAAACAAAACTCTATTAAAGGAGTACAATTTATTATAGAGAAAGATTGAGGACACCTGTCTAGCTGACATAGTCTACGTAATTGTTGTCTTACAGGCAGAGAAAAAATGGTAAAAAAGCTGGCTGGCTTTCCGTACCATCGATTGATTTTCAACTCAACTCATTACGCAAATTTTAGCTCATTTCATTTCGAAATCTCCTGAGAAAGCCACTGGAAAGAGAGACATCAAGATATTTTAGCCAGGGTACTACCACATTTGATGAGAAGGTAATCAAACAACATATATGACATTTTCTTTTTTTTACTAGGGATCTGGAACATAAAAACGTTCTCAAGTATTTCGGAGCAGCCAGAGTTAGTACTCCTCATGAAAGTAACAAGTACAAATTTATATTCGTGATCAAAGCTTGCCAACAAAACCTGCGAAATGTCATTTTCGGAAATGCAACTTTTGCACCTGCGAAATCTAAAAACTCCAATCAAGCAATTGACAAGTTCAAGAAATGGGCAATGGAGATACCGGATGGTTTAAACTACATTCACGAACGAGGACTTACACACCGTCATCTGAAGCTTGAAAATATTTTGGTTGGTACTATGTAGATACATCTTTAACTGCTTGGATTTGCATTTTGACTTAGTAATACTTGGCTAACGATGACTAAAAAGTTGGAATGATGAAACATTTGCATTTGCATGCTATAACGCGAAAACTTCTAAGTATAACTTTTTTAAAGTAATTTACTGCATTATAATAACCTAATCAATGTCCAGCCAAGACATTAAAAAAGTAAAAAAAAATCCTAATGAGCAAGCAGTGTTTTTTAATTCCAAAGTTAATAGTTCTTTTATGAATAATATATTGTATTTTCAAGCTTCCTTGCTTTTTCGGAGTTCGAGTTTTAAAAAATAACTTCATAACTATACATGACATATTTGTCTGGTTGCTGTAACTTAGCTGTGTATATAGCTAGCTACATGAAATATCGGCCAACCATCTTTAAAAATTTTCAAAGTATTAATCTGTTGATTTACAGGAAGATGAGGACGGGACGGTGATAATATCTGATATTGGAATTGTGGGTCAACATCTGGAAACAGAGAGAAGCATAACTTATCTTGCACCTGAGGTATTTGAAGATCAGATGAATTGTACAAAAGAAGCAGATATTTACAGCTACGGCATCATGTTGTGGGAAATGTGGTATGGAAAACAGGCGTTTACAGAACTAATGCCCATTGAAATAGTTGAATTCCGAAAAGAGCTAGCTGATGGGCATCGCCCAAAGACAGGCTTCACGACGATCAGCATTCCAGCAATACATGCTGTCATGGTGAAGTGCTGGGCGACTAAAGTTGAAGAACGGTATTCCGCAAAAGAATGCTGCAGGGTATTTCAGGATATCATAGAAGGCTGAGTCAGCAAGAAAACAATTCGCACGACTAACTATAATTTTAACTTTCCAAATGGGGATAACACATAATGCATTCAACTGAGCGACTTTTAAACTGCAAATACTGGGAAAACAATAAAACTATAGAAATAAAGTAAGCTATAATATAGTCTAGGTGGCTAATAGCAAAATATTTTAAAAACCGTGACGTACGTAGCACTATCCAGCTTTCGTAGAACATTTACATTAATCAGGCGTAGTTTGAAGTATTTAGTAATCTAGCAGCCCTGCATGGTATAGTGGTATATTTATAGAATTTTTGCACGCGGACATTGGATATCTTCTTAAAGTCTGCACTATAAGCTTACTTAATCGGACATATATAGTTGTCATTATAAAAGTCATACAATTCAACATATAATAACGAAGAAACAGATCATAGACATTAACAACTAGGGCGGGCGGGTAAATTAGAAGAAAATGTAATATAATCGCTATCCCGGTGTCCCAAACCATAGATATTCGAATATCGCATGGATCGGCATCTTGTAGTATTTTGTATACTTCAGTAATCTTAAATCCAGAAACAAATACATTGCACTATGCACAACTTACTGAGATAGTTATATATGCGCAAGACTTCTGTATATGAGCATATAATTCCCATAACAGCTCGTGCAATATTTGTTGCCGGTTCTGTTCAATGCCTCTCTCTTCTGTTCAACGACACCGCAGAAATTGGTTTGCATAATTGCATAATTGCATTCATATTTGTATTCTTACAGGCTTCAAATTAGGTGAGCGAAAAGTGTTATAAATGCTCAACAAAATATAACTTGCACAAGAGATTTGAAGCTTGCAAACGGCAAAAACAAAGCGTCTGAACTAATACCCTTGTGCCTGTATAATACCTTATTTCAAAGCTGTCAGATCTTTTTGATGAGCTTTTAAAATATTTCAGAGCACGTATTCAGATAAAATTTGAACTTGTTTTTCAGTAGTATTTTCTAAAATTTGATAGGCAATTTCAGGGATGTCCTCTATAATATCTATGCCTAAACTAAATGTCTATTCTATATGCCACCATTCATAGGCTTTCATTTTATGCCTGTTAAGATACCCTACAGTATAAAATGTCATTAATCATAAGCCTCAATACCTCTCATATAGTAATACATTTTTTATTTAGCATAGAAAACTATAAAGCTATAGAATACAATAAAATTTTTTTTAATGCAGGCAAAACAATTTCATAACAAATTTCATAAATGTCATGAAAACTTTAGTAAAACATTTAGTGTCTGCCGATGTTCAGCTGAGGCGAGGAGATGCATGCAGGTATTATAACAATAAATAAATAATCTTTATAAAAAATGGCATCGCTTGGTTTAATACATGGAATTCATATAAACGGCGTCCAGCCGGGCAATTATGCAATTATATTAAACTGTTTATCAAAATCTTATTTCAGTCTATAGTTTTATTAGAGCTATGTAATGAAATCTGTGTATTTGTTGATCTAATTTATTGGAAAACGAACTAGGAGCCAACAGATGTGATTAGTCCGTAAGTACATCCACAATGAAGCATGTTATATATTTGTTAAATTTAATGTTGTATGCATGAGATACTGTTCTACCGATCAACAAAATGTAGTTCGAGGTGTAGTTGGCACGCAGTTCATTTGATTTATACCAGGAGTAGGTCGCCCTCTTCACATGCAAACTTTACTAAGAAACTACTAATTACACACTCAGTAAAGTTTCCAGACATTCGGTAATGATTGGGAGCGATATATGTCTATTTGACTGCGTATATACATTTATTCATACAGATTATCAGGAGCATGATATATACATTTCCTTTGTTTATTATACTGGATGATCCGTCCTTACTGTATATATTAATCAAGCTACTGTGTTTGTTACAGGTAATGTTACTGCATGCGTGAGAACTGATGTATCCGTTTTAACAATAACTCGAATGTAGGTTCGAACTAGACTGATCTAAATGGAAATTAAAAATGACGTTAGTCGAAGCCTTAATTATATCATCATTCAGCATCGCTTTAGGAAATTCGGCATCGTTTTTTCTCACTTCGGATCTAGAGTTTGTCTTCCATAAACATTGCATTCTTATAGTTTCTGGGTGGTTAGGATAAAGAAATAATGCTTAGTATTTATAAATATACGTCGCATTGCGAGTTTGGCTAATATTTAAGAATGTTCGACATGCTTCACCGCAGCGGTAATAAAACACATTTTAAGAGACTTGAGCTAGCTTCTGATAGACAGACCATTATAATAATTCCTTATTATGATTATTCATCATGATTTTAACGTTTTTGCTTTGGTTTATGTAATAACGTCTAAATTCCTTGAATTTAAAGAAATTGATTTAACTATTTTAAAGTTATTGAAATACAATAATTTTGTGTGCGGGGGAGGGTTTAGTTGAGAATATCCGCTGCACCCTTATATCTGCTGCTTAGGATCATATATTGCTTGAACAATTTGTGCACGTTCGTTAGGGTTTCTTTTTGACGGGCAATCATATCTATCCGTAGCAAGAGGTAGGAATTCTTTCTATATCGTGGGTATTCACTTAGATTTTTCACTATGAACTAGATCGTAACATATATTCTAATAAAGCACGCGTTTACACATTGCGATTTTCCCGCTACGATTCGTAATTAGCCACATGTATTCGAGTTGGCCCTCTTGAAGTAACAGGGTTTTAAAATTTGAAATGCCATCGATTTGTAATACATCGATCAATAGTAATTTCGTCAATAATAAAAAGAAGCGTGTATGACAAATCGCAATGTGTAAACGTTGCTTTTGGGCAATTATTATTTCTTTTTCAACAAAATATAAAGCACGACGATTAAACGTCTTTCTTAAAATTGACTCATTCAATCTAACAGGTCCTTCTTTTTCTTATCTGAAATATTTTGTCTTTGCTGAAGGAATCAAAGATTTTATTTTGTTCGTTTGGTATGTACCATAGAGTAGCATCGAAATGGCAGCAAAACGTTTTTCTATAGAAGAATTGAATTTCTTTAAATTCGCATCAATCGTTTACGATGAATTTCCAAAAATGTTACGTTCGACATTTATCACACTGTGGGACACTAAGATTGCACCATTGCCAGGTTACCTAAAGTGGGACGACACACCCCTAGTGCGAAACCTTCTCTTGGCAAGCGAAGGAGGTTCAACGGACGTGCCAATCAATAAATCGTTCGAGGAATGGGATTGTACAGCTCTCTTCAAAGCTACCATCTACTCCAAAAGTTTTAATACCTCGACGACGACGACGACAATGACCACCATAAAACGTCCCACAATTAAGACGCTGAGTGACCAATTTATAAAAGGAAAAAGTCCCACTTCTTTTCACCTGTCGCTTACCAGTGCAACTGGGAACCAGGATGAAACGATAACTTTAGCAATCGACCAAGTTCGACTTCTTAGAAACACCTTATGCCACATGCCAAAGTCTACAATAGCAAAAGCTGATTTTGATAAATATGTTCAACTTGCAAAGGATGCTTTTGCTGCGGTTGGATTCCCAACATATAAGATTGACGAAATTGGTGAACTAAAGGAGGAAGACTTCCCAACTATGAAAGTCGATGAGTTGAATAAGAAGAGTAGAGATGATCTGCAGGAGATCAACAAGTTTCTTCAAGATGCATTAAACGAAATGATAAAAAAGCAGGAAGACAACGAGCTTTTCCAAAAGGAGGTTTTGCAAAAAATGGATATGCTTTTAGGTATATAGTTATAACATAAATATCAGAAAATAGGAAATAATTTAAGTTTAAGATTCAATAGTCCCATTAGCATGCTCTGGCTCATTAACATGAGATCAATGTATCAGCTACATACCACACATTTAATTGTTTAGTCCTTGGTTTTGTAGAATGCGTTGGAAAGACGCAACAAAAAGGCTATTATGAAAAATACACTACTCTATATTTGTAAGAGAATGTCTTCAAAAAGTCTTATTAGAGACCATGAGATCCACAGAAGCTCGACGGCGCGCGACGTCTATTTCAACTTTTGTTTGACAAGGAAAGCTACGCGAGGAAAGCAAGAATGTTTATCACTAGTGGATTTAGTAGAATGTAGAATAAGCGATTTGATAAGAAACTAGATTTTCTAGACGTGTATAGGATTAAGTTGAGAAAGGACATTCAGCCGAGAAAAGTGGTCTTGAAGGTTGTTTTTAATCTCTAAAATTCTCGGCTTGGTGTTGTTTTCGCTTTAGTAGGTTCAGAGAGCTAAGTTGCCGGGGAGGTAAGGACGGTGACTGCCGTTAGGGTAACTTAATTGACGTAGCTAACCTCGCGTCACAGATATATATATATATATATATATATATATATATATATATATAACATTCACGTTGCTAAGGGGCTGTTTACATGAGCCCGGTTGCCCGAGATTCAACGAAGCGTGAGATGATTTTGAGGTATTAAGGGTATTTGAGCAGATAACATGATCCTGGCAGTCGTATAATCACCACAACAATAGCATGTGCTTATTTGGTGTCATAAAGACTTTTTTCAATATCTCAAAGTCCTCTCACGCGTCGTTGAATCTCAGGTAACCGTGCTCATGTAAACAGCCCCTAAGAAAACGCAATTATGCTGTAAGTTTAACGTTGTTTCAATAACAGTAGCGTTATTAAATTAATTATATATATACTTCTTGGACCAAGTTGATTATACTCTTTGGATCACTCTTTTAATTTTGTTTTATACAGAAAATCCCTTTGTACTGAAGGCGCGCGCGTCGTCGAGCTGTCGCTTCGAAGATCTTAAGGTCTCTATTGTTTCGCGACAGCTAGCGTTTAAAACACTCAGAACCAGTCTACCTAAAGTCGTGCGTTATTCTGGGATGTTTTAGCGGAATCTCTTTTAAGAGATTTTTAGAGCTTTAAAAAGCTCTAAATTCAGCTTTATATACAGAGCATTTCGCTATAATAAACGTTTTAAAATACCAAATGATGGTAATGTCAGTACGCAACTGACGACCATTCTAATTCCTTCTTATCCATTCGCACATTAAACGCAAACAACATTTATATAT